CGCTACGGCCGTCTGGTGCACGTGGTGGACGAAAGCCCACCGCTTCGACTTGGCAACAAGCGGCGACCTTCTCCGATGAAAAGGCGACGCAGAGGCTAACGCAGAGGAACGAGGGAGCCGTGGTAGAGGCGCGCACATTTGTCGTCCGAGAAATGCCTGTCCACGTGGAAGAAGGGAGCGGGTCGGGGACGCGTACACAACCGGAAATACAGCTCTCCCAGGCAAAAGAAGAAAGTGTCGGAGAAAAAGGCTGCGACAGGGTCTGCGTGGATCGATTCGCGACGCGACTCAACGCGCAACACCTGTCGCACGAGCCGGCCAAGTAAGTGCATTCGTCCCTTTCATTGTCCATGGTGAAAAGCCGGGGAAACGTTCGGGGAATATCATTCGAATCCTGTTCTCGCGCGTCATCCTATTAACGGCGACTGGCTAATAGCGTGTAAGTCGGTGTCCGACCGATTTCGACTCCACCGCGCAACAGGGATGACGAGATGCATTTTCTCGAGGGCTCCTTTGGTCGCGCGTGTCTTGGTAAAAGTCGCGTATAAATCATCGGATCATCGAGGACTCTCGACGCGCGTGATCCACGCAGAGTTCGTCATCGACGCGAATCGGAATGAAAGGCTCCGGCTGAATAAAATCCACCTGTCCGGACAATCAACGAATCGCAATGCCAACGTTTCATTACCTGTTGCGTCATACCTGTTGCTCCGTGTACTCGAACCACGTGACGATGGTGGCCGTGAAAAGAGTTCCTCGTCGTGTCCCGACGCCGCGTCGCGACGCGTCGTATCGATCGCGTGGACGAGCCGATGCCAACGTTACGCGTTGTCCGCTGAGCGCGGTCGGGCCGATATATCGCGATCGTATATCTTCCTTCCCGTGTACGTACACGCTCGAAATCATAGGGGTGACGCGAGGAACGATACGATATACTCTCAATGCAAATCGTTTCCGTATCGTTGCACGGTGATGAACGTCCCAACGGAAGAAGCGGGTGAACGAATGGACGCGCCGTCGATGCGCTTTGCTCGATTTTCTGAGCCAAAGTTAGCCTCGCTTATCGCCATGCAGGCGAAGGTATGGAAAATTGCGCTCGTTTACGTCCGATATCTACCCCTTTCAACGACCGATACCTTTTTCTGCCTTTCCCGTATACACTCGTGGTCGTACACATCGATAGAGCTGACTCGACTGTTACACGTTTTTCCAGGTACGAATACTTGCCGTTGGGACTGTTCCCAAGCATCGACGAGTCGCCTCGCTTAACGGATTCACGACTTGCAGGCGACTTCACGGAGGATCTTCACCCTTCTCTTCCCCGAGGAATATTTTCGATGCCCGGTGTCGATAAAACACCTCGCCGTTTGATCGTGCTCGCGTCCTCGTAGGAATCTCCCGATCTCATTGTTCGTGGCCAGCAGGGCAGAAAGCGGCGCTTCCGGTTTCAAGTTGGCTCGGAGCACGACGGACGGCCACAGGTTGCACGGGCCTGGTTGCATCCTGACCGTCCAGCTAAACACCTGCACCACATTTCACGGGTAAAAGGATCAAGGTCGAAAATAAAGGCTCGCCCGGGTTATCCGTTACATCCTTCTTTCACGATCCGTCGTAACGTCGCAATCGCGTGTATCTTTGCAGGCTTGCCGCACGATCGTCGTTACGCAACGAGGAAACCGTGAGAGTCGTGATCCGAGAGCTGCTTCGAGGTAAAAATCGTGGAAACGAGGGAAAATTGCATCGACTGTCCATCGGCAAGAACGTGAGTACGAGGAACGGTTACGGCCGTTTCTTCGTCCGTCTTTTTGCCCCTCTTCTAACCTGCGATTCGATGAAAGAAAATCGTGCCGGATAATGCAGAGCGTAATTACGTTTACAGCCACGCTCGACCACACACCGGCGTTATCCACGTCGATGGAAAACTGTCGCTGCACAGGAAGTCGGCGAACGCGCCGCGGAACCGGAAGTCGCCGTGGGACCGCATGGATGCCTGAAAATATCGCGTACCACCTTCGTGTTCCATGGGAACCGGCCGCTTGACACGCACATAAGTGCTCGTGCACTTATCGTGCGTCGCGTGTACTACTCGTTAGTCCAACTATACGAGTACCGAGCGAAGGATGTCGGTACATACGCGTCTTACTCGATACCGCCGACTCGAGCCATTTCTTTTTAGGCAGCGCAAATACGTGATTACTGCTACGATACTATCGTGTTATGCTATGTCGCTGCTATTAGATAAAGTAGGATACTGGACGTTAATAATCCGAATTAGCTATTCACGAACGCGCCCATCCGCTTCCGAGTACGTGTGCAACCCACACACGGCTGTTGTACGCCCATGCTACACCGTCGGAGGATGGTTACCTCTATGATTCATGAAACTTATCTTTATGGTCAGGTGAGTAACACCATCGGTCCCATAACAATGGGGAAAGGTGGACCCGGAATGAATCCTCCGCTGTCTATGGACACCATGAACGCGTCAGATGCTCCGTTCGAGCGATATTTTATCGCGCGCGAGGTTAACGCGTCGGGTGGCCTTTCGTCGCAAATGATCTACGAGACACACGGATCGATCGACATGTTCAAGATACCCGTGCAACCATCAGGCACGAGCCTCGCTCCTCGCGGAGGAAACAGTAACGCGTTCGTTAAAGTTTGTCCAGTCGACGTTACCCCGATCGAACACGTGTCTCCTAATTTTCTAGACGAAGAAACATCGGCTTGATCCGCATCCAGAAATCGTGGGCGTTCGCGAACGTCATTCGAATTTGCAACTTCCTCGTCCTTGGCGGGCAAGCGATATTTCTGCGGGCCGAGAAGCGGATTGTCTCGCTGTTCCGTCAGTGTCGATGCTTGGACAGGGAGAATTATTATCCGCGCGAAGAGGCGTGCTGTCGTCGCCGTTCCAGATGCGCCGTTAACGCTCGAAATGTAAAAATAATCGTGGAACCATATCGCCGTCTCGCTGCCTCGTCTCGTTTTTCGCACAGAAAATACTCCGCCCGATTCTATTTATCCGCCACGGTTTAAACGCTATGTATTATTTCCGAATCCTCTTGGAACATACGCTCTTTAACTATCGGCATTAAAGAAGATAAATATTGACGTGCAGGCGAGATCAGAAGCGTGTAGGAAATACTTCGTCGACTTTATTGCCGATCTTCCGGCTCGAACGGAGAATTACAGTGGGAAAAATCGCGTTGTGCTAACGCGTCTGTATAAAACGCGAACCGAACGATCGGCGAAGAGGAGAGCACGAAACACGGTGTAAAGAGAATCTGAGGGGTAACACGTGTTTATTGTACAAGTATAGCACGAGTTCTAGACACGCGTCTTCGGGAATCGTTTAATAGAATTCGAATTGCGTACACGATTCTTAAACCGCGAGCGAGATTGCGCCAGTGTACTCTATACGTATGTATGCAGGTAGCTAGAGAATGACAGCAAGGTGTGGACGGTACCGAATTCTTGTAAAGAAAACAACGATACTGCGGGGTAACACGGAGAATCGGTGTAGCTAATTAGAGATCGTTGGCAACGAATGAGTCTGTAAAATAGATTCCCGGAAGTTATTTTCATTTCGGTTATTAATGACAGGCGACGCGAGAGTGAAAAGCACGGGCAGCGCGTCTTCCTGCGGACACGATAATACGTTTCGAGGGTAATTACGGTTGTCGATACGATACGCGACACGTTTCGAATCACCAGCGAACGGGTTAGACAGGCTATCGTCCGTAGAACGCGGTCAGGAAAAATTACATAATCGATCGAAACGTTGGCGTTTCGCGAACGGTAAATCGTTCGCTGGCTTGCCGATAACGCGTCGCTGTATTATTATTAGAAACGTAAATATTAAACTACCGGCATCATCGTTATTTATAGGATGTTGCACGTTATTCGTAACAAGAACTACAAATTCGTATCGCATCCGTGGGATTATACTTGTCCTCCGTCAAGGCTACGACGAATCGGTCCAATTCCGCGCCGCGCCTACCGAGAGACCGAGACCGAGCTTCCGCCATCACAATGGATCGAGTCTATGCGACGATCCGTATCGCGAAGATTTACGACGATCCACGAGGATTTACGGAGATCGGTAATGAGCCGCGAAAATCGATACGAGTCCTCCATCGTCACGGTGTTTAACATCCGCGGCGAAACGCTGTCTGGACGTAGGCCAGAATCAAAAATAAGCCGAATTTCGGCGGATCCGGCGATGGTTCGCGACCACTTCGCGTATCTACCATCTACCAGTCCGTTCCGTTCGCGACGTACCATCGGAGCAAACGCGAGATCGAAGGATAACTCCGATGTCCGCGATCGTTCCGGGAATCATCACTATTTCCGTGAGCGTCCGCTTGGCAAGCCACGGTCGCGTGTCCCACGCTGTGTCTCATCCCCCCCGAAATAAAGGCTTTTCGCATAAAAATGACAGGGTTCCTATATAAAAATTCTGAGACAACGTCGTCCTACCACTCCAGCCGCATGATTCATACGATCGATTTAAGAAACCGTGAACCCGTTCGGGTCCATTACTCCACCGCGTTTTCGACAAATCGGCGAACGGAGAGAAAGAGGCCTCGACTTTTATAATCCGCGCCGCGTTGACGCAACCGCGTAACGGGTCCACGATGACGACACGATTTCATTCCGCGCTCGCAGCCCGTATTTTTAAATGCCGCCTTTTATCTTCGCGGCCAGCCGCGAATCTTCCGCGATCGCCGCCTATAAATCACTCCGCTCTCTCGTTGCTACAGAAAGAGAAGCTAGAGGGAAAGATCTAGAGTGCGAGAAAGAGAACGAAAAACAGAGAAAGAGAGAGAGATGCGAGAGAGAAAGAGAGAGAGAGAGACCTGGGACCACGAGAGATGTGTTCCCAGTGAGAGTTCTCCCGGTGGCGGCATCGGGAGAGGTGGGAGAGAAACGCGGTGAAAAGGGATGGAGGGGTGAAGGGGCGGGAGGGAGGGGGGGCAAGAGAAGGATAGACAGCCTTTTGAGACCCCTCGGTGACCAGTTTAGTTCTGCTTGGCATTCGAACCGCACCAGAGATCATGTGACAGAAGACAAGCTAGGATCCTCGCGTACACTTCGATCCAGGATCTGTTTGGACCACGTTCGACCATCGATAGACGTTCCGTCCGCCAGTCGACCGCTCGCGATCGCGCGACAGTAAGGTGTCTGTGAACCAGTTACCGTGATCTACGCGCGTCTCCTCGCGCACGTGTCGATCGCTGGTCGATTATTCGCGCTCCGTTTCTCGACCCGCGTCTTTTCTCTCGAACCGTCACCCAGGCTGCATCGAGGGAAAGAAAGTGCGCAAAATCGATCGATGATACGCGAGGTCATCGGTGAACAGGTATCGCGTTTCTTTTCCGCGTTTCGTCAGAGAGCATCAAGGATGACCGCTTGCGAGGCGGCAGAGCTGCGATCGTGACGGCACACGCAACACGTGCACTCCGTTTAAATCAACAAACGGCAGGCAGCCACGTAAAAACGGCTTGCATACGTTAACGAGCAGGAAACGAAGAAAGTGCAAAACCCCTGTTCTCTCTTTCGCTCTCCCCCTCTACCTCTCTTTCTCTGTCCGTACGCTTCTCGGTATACGCTCGCCGTAAATGACACTTGTGAAATCAACGCACACATTTTCACCGCTTCGAGCGAGGAACTGTAGAAAAGAGGGTCGTTGACAGCACCACGCGTCGTGATAAATGTACCGGTGCGAGCCTCGGTGCCTACGTACTCGGCGAAATTTTCCGAAAAACCCCTCCCTATCTCCGTGATTACGCGATTTACGTGTCCGTGGACGCGTGAATATTCGATTCGCGCGTTTCATCGGGCCTCGCATCGTGCGCGAGTCATCGGCTGACTCCGCCGAGTTCGCTCGTTAAGTACGCGCGGAACATTGGAAGTCGTCGCAAAGGATCAAGAAAAGCAGATATGAGGTCGACCGGTCGCCACGCGATCTAAGAATATCGCGAGTGGATCGTTGAACTGGGCTTCCTTTCTTTCCACGTGTCGACGAGCGCACAGGGAAATAAATCAGCAACTTTCTCTGAACGCCGTCGACAACAGTAGCTCGTAAAACATGTCGGGAGACACGACGTCCGACGAGGAGGGATCGCAGGAGGATTCCCCGAGATACGACATCGACGATCTGGAAATCATCAAGACCATAGGTGAGCACGATCCTATTCATCCTGACGCCTTTCACTGAGAACGCTCCCGACTGTTGCAATTGCGAAGCTTTCTATTCGTATCGATACGCGAATAGAATGGTGTTCGGGCACTTAGGGATTCGTTGAACCCGTAACTTTTCCTTCCAAACGACTACCCGATCGAATCCACGGTATATCTGTATATCAGCGGTTCGATCGTTCCACGCTCGTCGCTTGTACCTCGAACGGCCAACTTATCCGTTAAAATCGCTTGGAAATGTTAACGTTACTCGTTACGCGTTGCTGACTCTCCGCGAGAAAATGTCAGAGAGGCGGCGAACCACCCTCGAAGCGAGGAAGTGGGCCACTGGAGAGTGAGAGGCCACCGAGTGTATATTTAACTGCTCGTTAAGTTCGCGTTACACGGGACCAGCGTGGTGCAGGTGTTTTGTAGCTGATTTTTCTATCGTTCCTCTCTCGTCGAACTGTTCTCCGAATTCTCCCGTAGATGATTAACGTCGTCCAATTGGGGGAGAGAATTCCAGAAGTCGAGTTTCGCAAGGGAATACGGTAGAGAATCGAGGCGAAATAGGTCGTCGTCGGGCTACCTTAATCGTGGCGTGAAATCCGACAACCTATACGACACGGCCAGCTTCCGGTTATACCTGTACAATGTAGAATGTTACGCCACTGACGCGTTCGCGAACCAAGAGCAAACGAATCCTGGCAAGCATCGATACCTTATCGTTCCACTTAACTTCGATCGCGGTCGGGCAAACCCGACTGTAAAGCAGCGACAGCACACGTGTAAGCGGAGATCGATCAGGACAGATGTGCAGACCGCTTCTTTCGAGACGTAGAACAAGTTTTGGACGCACACCAAAATCCTCTCTCGAGTGTCCATACAAAAAACAACGTGTCAAGGGGGAGCGTCTGGCGCGCGTAATTCGAGCGAAATAGCCACTCGCGTGATGAATGAACCATGTTACCTGAAACGTTCACCTTTCTCGATGCGATCCATTTCCACTGACAGTCGTCCCTCTAGTCGCGTAACGCCCCACGACTTACCGATATTCGTCGGACAAATTTTTGAAAAACATCGAATGACGCAGCGGAGGATCGAGTGATCGCGGAACCTCGACGAAACGATCCGTCTTCCGTTGTTCGACGTTGCGTTTACATTTCGCGAGAAAATAACAAAAAAAAAAAAACAAGAAAAAAGATCAAGGACGCTGAATTACGTAAATTTGACGGCGAGCAGGGAATATTTAAAGCGTCGTTCGGCGGAAACAGCTCGTCGTTCTATCATTGACACCTGTTCTCAGCTGTCGCTGGCAGTCACCGCGATCGTTTCGCGGGGCATACAACACGGTTTCGCCCCTTATTCGCGCTGTCTGCCAATTTTGCCGCATTTATAATGACGCCTCTCTGTACGCGAAATCCTGCCCTCGTCCATGATGAACAGCTCGAACGATGCAATTTGCCGGTTAATTTCGGCGCGGACCGCGGCCCGGCGGCCATCGCTGTTCCGTTAATTGGTCGTGGTACGTTGAGCAGACCAACTTTAGTCACCTGTATTCGTGGGAAAGTGCATTAAACAGACCGCGGAGGACGGATTATGCTACTAGAGAGAGCGTTGATAATTAGCCATTGCCTCGTACGATCGATAACAACCGCGTATCTTCTTTTTGCGCTATTACCTCGTATCTGTAATGAGCGGACAATTTCTTTTTTCTTTCCTTTCCCCCCCCCCCTTTTTCTTATCGAACACGATCGATGATCTGAATTATTAACGAGTAAACGACTCGCGATGTGCGGAAGGTATGACAAAATGCGACGATAGCGATCCGTGGATAAGACACAGGATTCTGACTAACGTTCACCCTCAGGCACAGGCACCTTTGGCAGAGTGGTACTATGCAGGCATCAAGGTACCCCCCTAGCCTTGAAAATCCTCTCGATGGTGGACGTGATCAGATTGAAGCAAGTGGAACACGTACGAAACGAGATCACCGTGCTGAAAGAGGTTAAGCATCCCTTCATCGTGAACATGTAAGTCGAATTTGCTTTCTCCTTTCTCCTGTTCGATCGTTGGCAAGCTCCAACAATGTTTCGTTGCTAAAGATCGGCGAAGGGAACTGTTGCTTGCAACGCGAGGAAGTGCATAGCACGGCTAAGAAAGTCGCGAATTTGTCGGTCGAACGAAGGAAACTCTTCGAATGAAAGCGTAGCATAAGAACGGCGAGAGTGATACCTGCTAATCTACCGTGAACGACTCGTGGTACTCGTCCTATTAACGCTAAATGTCGAATTATAGGAAATTATCCGTTTTCTCGGATCTGATCCGAGAATAGATTCGAAAGGAATTACCGGAATCTTTTGCCTTTCGAACTTTTGAAATCCGTGCCGGTATATCATTGCCGTTTTAACGTCAGCTCGGTTTCAGGCTCTGGAGCGGAAGAGACGAGGCCAGAGTATACATGCTGCTGGAATTCGTGGCCGGTGGCGAGCTTTTCTCTTACTTGAGAGCAGCTGGCCGATTTTCCGGGCCCACCAGCTGCTTCTACGCCGCAGAAATCGTTTGTGCTTTGGAATACCTGCACAGCAAACACATCGTTTACAGAGACCTGAAGCCTGAGAACCTCCTCTTGGACAGCCAAGGCCACCTGAAGATCACAGACTTTGGGTTCTCTAAAAAGCTCACGGACAGGTAAGCGGCTGTTACTTTCCAAGCGAATTCGGGAATACGATGACATATTACTCTTGTTACGTTCGATAACATCGTGCATGATAACGATTAAAATATGTGGTATAAATTTAAAATAAGTTTCATTTTTTTAAATTACAGTAATTCTCGAGCTTTCCCATCGTATCTTTCGCAAAAACTTTCCATTTTATCCGTGTCTAAACATCGACGACCATAACGTGACTGTGCAGTCACGCTGCGAATTAATCGATAGTTACACGGGATATAATAACGTTTCATTTCCTATATACCGGGGAATAATTATTCTAAATCATCATCGTGCTTGTAGGACGTGGACTCTGTGCGGCACGCCCGAGTATTTGGCACCAGAAATAATTCAGAGCAAAGGACACAATAAGGCGGTAGACTGGTGGGCGCTCGGAGTTTTGATCTACGAAATGTTGGCCGGGTTTCCGCCATTTTTCGATGACAATCCTTTTGGCATCTACGAGAAGATACTGAGCGGTAGGATAGAGTGGCCAAAACATATGGACCCGATCGCCAAGGACCTCATCAAGAAGCTTCTGATCGCCGATCGAACGAAAAGGCTAGGAAATATGAGACAGGGAGCCGACGACGTGAAGAGACATCGTTGGTTCAAATTGATCGAATGGCCATTGGTAATCTCAGATCTATAAACCTCATCCGCAAATCGGGTATGACTGTCGAGACACGTTTTTGTATCGTTCCTTAACTATTATTTAGGTACCTCAGAGAGCTCTGACTCCTCCGATAAGACCGAGAGTTAAAGCGCCAGGCGATCCAAGCTGTTTCGACGATTATCCTGAAACCGACTGGCGTTCCCAGCCTCCTTTACCACCTGAACAACTGGCTCTATTTCAAGATTTCTAAAAGAAACGCCATGGACAATCGTTCGTACGTTCGAACCGTGCCAGTCATTCATTGACGCAAATTCGTTCGAGGAGCTTCCGGGTCGGGATTAGGATCGTCGAGTCGACGGCATTGTGATGTGTATAAAGTTTCGCTTACGTTCAAACCGGAGTTCCTTTTTATTTTGTACATAGCAAGCCCCCCTTTTTGTATTATCTCGTTGTGCACCGTTTATTTATTCGTACTCGCTGCGTAGACTAGACACTTTCCTCCGCTGTTTTACGTTGTAAATAAAAAAAATGAGAAAGAAGGAATGTATAAGACGACGAAGAAATTGTAATTCAACACAGTTGAAAATTGGAATTCAGGGGGAAGTTGGTATCTTCCTTCTGTCGCGAGAAAAGTGATACGAAATGTTGAGAGAAATGATTATAATTTTGTAAGACGCTCTTATGTAAAATATTGTAACGTTGTATCGTGCGACAGTACGCTACATATCAGAATTAAATCGTGAATTTTTTTAATTTCAATTGCTTGTTCTCTGAAATACTGTTCTCCGAATCGTTCGAACAATTTGAGCCTTGAGCAAAGTATAAATCCGATATGCAAGCGTGTCATTAATCGCGATAAGATCGATCGGCACGTACGTCACCCACGTTCTATTAAATGTTTAAACACATATTGCGAATAATTTACAACAGCCGACACGCGACCTCGTCGTGCTATGATAAAACGCAGTATGCCGCGTTAAAATATCAGTATGTCCCCGTGGACATAGTTGAGGTCACGAGGGAGTGGAGACGTGGTCGGGAAAGTCTGAAATCGAGAAAAATCACGGCAACCATGACTAAAAGGTTCAGTAGAGAAAATCAGGATCTTTTGTACTACAATAGAAGGTACAATGACGCGATTTCGAATCGACGAATGGGTAAAATTAACGTCATCAACGTGAAGTCGAACATCGGCGAGAACCCAATCGATACCACGAAGCAGGAAGACACGGTTCCAACTCTGCGTGACATTTTGAACGATTATCTGGAGAGCACTTCCGTTCATGGTTTACAATACTTTGGCAAACTGAGCGTTGAAGTCGGATTTTTTGGAAAGATTCTATGGACTTGCACCATATTAATTTCTTTCGTCTGTATTTATCGTCTTCTCTGTACTCCTCGTCAAATGGTACGCGCGATTAAACACACGTCTCGTTTCAGGTTTGAGCTTGATGGTAATGCAATTTCTGACCCGTTACAACGAGAATCCGACCAATACGTATATAAAGACCTTCGACGCCCCGATATTTCAAGCGCCATTTCCTGCTGTCACCATATGCCCGGTTATGCCGATTCCTCTGCAGAAACGACTGGCCATTTTGGAGAACATCATACTGCCCCAGAACGTGAGCAGAGATATAGCGATGTACTTGCTGAAGTATGTATATTAACGAGGTTATTGCAGAAAAGGTAGGTTAACGTGGTGTGAAACTCGATGCAGATACGGACACCATATAACTCACCCGTACGTGAACAGAGAATTTAAATACGTGAACGAGTTGAAAGCGCTGTTGGATATTAATAAATGGAGCGTGACAAAATTCTTGGAAACTCTGATACCTTGCGAAGACATTTTCGAGTCGTGTTGGTGGAGTGGAGAACGCATAGATTGCACCAAATCTATCAAGACTTCCTATAGCTCTTACGGATTATGTTGCTCCTTTAATTATTTGCTTGAGAACTACGTAGGATCTCAAAAGCAAGTATCGCGATAATATTCCGATAATCCGAGAGATCGCATTGCTTAATTAAATAATTTCTTTGTCGACGATGCAAAGAGGTCATCCACAACCAAAACCTCTGAGTTCGGCGGATTTTGGCCTCTGGAGCGGCTTGAAACTCGTGATTAACAAGGACGCGCTCGTGCTCAGTGAAAATATGATAAATTCCTCGAGGATCATAAACAGCTACGGCATAATGGTACAGGAAAATACGACGACTTCCTAGAACAATATTTAAGAGAAAATTGCAGAATGTAAATTTACGTGTAACATATTTTTTCTCTTCTTGTTTTTACCAGGTACTTATACACCATCGAATGGATTTTCCTGGGCTTAATACGAATATGTACATGTTGCAAGCGAACCACGAGTTGGAGGTGATTTATTCGATGTACAGAGAAGAATGAATAACAAAAATGATTCGACATTCTGAAAATTACCATTACAGATCGCCGTAAAGCCGCAGCTTATTCATAAGCCTGGAGGGCTTCAACATCGGAACAAGGAGAACGAATTAGTCCCCGTGTGCATCAGGCAAAACGAAAGCCCTTTGGAATACTTCTCCATTTATCGATACTCGAATTGTTACGCGAATTGCAGGATCAAGGCCATGATCCAACTCTGCGGATGCTTACCGTTCATCTACGACTACGTAGCTGAATTCTACAACATCACGGTAAATATAGTCTATCTTGAAACCATACACACGAGTTCTCGAGATCACAGTTCGTCGATTGATTTTCAGCGTTGCGAAATAGAGCGTCTGCATTGTATCCAGGAAAATGCAAAACAGATAGGCATCGTGAGAGACGTTCAGAACGAGAACATCACCTGCTCTTGCAGGACCCCGTGCGAGAACATGAACTACGATGGCTTCCCAAACTCGATCGCTCTAGTGCAAACCAGTTCGCCGTGAGTTAACACCTACGATACCATGCGAATTTCGATTTTTTCGATTTATCATACATTTCTTGCAGCCGTAACGTGTCAGATCAAGCCGCCGTCATTAAAGTCTACATGCAATCGCAAATTTTCCAGATACTGGTAACCCTGTCAGCCGCTGACGAAACGTATCTTTTAGGTACCGACTTTTAACGTTCTATTCCTTTCTATTTTACAATCGCAGAAATGTTTCTCGGGAAAGATTTTATCGATCGTACGTTTCAGCCTCAGTCGGCGGAATCTTCAGTCTGTTCCTTGGCTGCAGACTCTTGCGCGGACGAGTCGAGACGCAACCACAGCAAACGTCCGACAAGAATTTTGTAAACTATCGCCGACAAGTTTATTAAATACTCATTAAATCCCACGAACAGATTTAGCAACGTTGCCTTTCTCTCCCTTCGAATGACTCTGCATCGCAAATCGAAAATGTGGGTTGCCGATTTTTTCTATAAACACGATCGATAATTTGATCAAGCGACTCGTTACACGGGTTCGCCACACTATTGTGTAACTCAGGCAGACACACGCAGTCGGCAGGAATCTGGAGCAATTAGATCTATTTCGAGCGATTACTGGAACGCCAAGGAGGCAACGTTTACCATCGTAGCTGGTAAAAATATTTCCTAGGCCGTGTTTCCGCTTCGTGGTATCATCCTCCTCGGCGTTGGCCGGCGATGTAGGGCAGAACTTTGGTCAACCGACCTAGGAACTAGAAATTCCAAGAGTACCAGCTACGATGGTTAATTGCTATCTCGGTCCAGCGCACTTGTCTCGATCCGTGTCGAAACCGGAAGTCACGCTTCTCCCGCCGGCTGGCGGGGTAATTAATTTTCGCCGTGGCCGTGTAACACGAGAGGAACGTACAAGTATTGCGAGCTGTCCTAAAGCTGCGTCGCAGTGAACATTGCGAAATTACACGAAGGCGAACGAGGAGAAAAATTGCATTTATTCGGTCGTGGCGCTGGGACAGGGACAGGGGAGGAAAAGGTTGAACGCGATACATCAGGAAAACGGGCACGATCAACAACGCACCATCGCGGTATTCTATTTATAAGCAAAAATATTCGAGACACTCGAAATCGAAGGCAGAATCGGTAATCCGATCCACGACGAAAACCAGCGGACAGGTTGCGTAATAACGTGGAAAATTCGGTGGAAATTCGGTCGGCATCGCGTCCTCGCGTGCTACCTACAGCTTGGAAATATTCAGGATAGGTGAGACGTGTTCATATCGTCTATTTTCGGAAGTGCTATCGAAAATACCGATTTAGTTCTTCGTACGTCCGACGTGTTACGGCCGTCGTGTACTGTGAAAAGAGCTGGAACCATCGGCCGCTATTTTCGACTAAACACCCACGTATTTCTCACCCATCGTCCGTGTACCCCGAGATGTTTTCTATCCTCGCGCGAGCACCGATATTTTTCGCCTTTCATCCGTCTGTTTCTTTCTCTTTTATTTCGTTTCAACGTCTACACAGGCTTTGAATCGCGGCCGAACGAACGCGTTTCCAACGTCCCTAACAGCCCGATGCAGCCTTCCCAGCGCGCTGTAATTTTTCAACTTTACGAGAAGTATACGGGTCCCTTTGATCATCGTGCTGCACAGTCACGCCCCTGTTTCTCATGAAACTACGTTATTTTGGTTGTTCGTTTTATTATAAATAGGACTGATTTCTTCGACGTCCAATTATCGTGGTCGTAAAATACATAAAATCGTGGGGTAAACGGGTGAACGAAGGTGAAACTCGTGGAGAACGTTGAAAGAGCTTAAGTGAATTACGCTTGTCTCGTTCATTTTGAATCGGTTTTACACGAATGTAACAAGGAGGGAAAGCAGTCGTTGATTAGGCGAAGAGAAACCCGGCATCTGGCAAAATCCCGAGTGATCGTGGATCGATCCAGGATATCCGGTCGTCGACGAACGATGTGTTCCCTTCGTGCTTTTTCACTCCTGCAATCAACAAACGTAACGTTTTACCATGGGCTGAGACTATGGTAGCGGGGTAGCAGAGTGCAGCATTGTAGCGGAGACTTCAATGATCACTACAATAGGAAGCAAGCATTACGTAGGCGATCGTGCACGGTGACAGAGCTGAAGCGGACTTACCATGGCGAGGAATGTATTCTAAAGTTAAAACAATCCAGAGTACAACAACCAGAGGCAAATCAGCAGGAGGATGAGTATAAAGTACGTGGTTAGGATGTTTTTCGTTTCGTGGGCTGCCTGTGGCATTTTTCGCTATTCACGGAAGATGTTTCACGACACTGCGGAAAAATCAAGATCAGCATGTAATCGCGATATCTCGGATCAACTTCTCTCAGCAAACGAACGAATCCTACCCAAAATGTACAATCGTCGTGTCGACCTTTCGTTCCGGATGATTCCAGTCTTCGGATCTCAACAAAATCTGAGATCGATGGAGAAAATCGAACAACCAAGCACCGTGCCACTTTGCGTCCGATCTCCGACTAGATCACTCAACGCAGGATCCACGATACAACGATGATCCCGAAATTCCTCCAGGAATCGCGTGAATATCCCCACCAATTCGATCGCGGATACAGCCGCGTTGCACCTTCCCTTGTAACTTCTGGTCCAGGATTGGTAGCCCGGGTCCCACCACCGTCTTTTACTGGTGCGAAACCAACGAGTTCCGCCACCTCGAGTTATATTAAGCATCGTGAATATCGGATACAGCTTCGGTGGAAAATACTCCGGATCGATTCACGATCATCATCGACGCGTAAAGATATCAACGGGTTCAAGGTCATCCGAGTTGCGATCACGGATCGATACGAGTCAACGGCCTCTGGGAAGGATCACGACGAAGCTAGAGATTAAACGAACGCGAGACAATCGGGTAAAGGGTACCGAGGAGCATCGTCTTTGTAGCATCTTGAGTTACGAGCTTTCTTAAAGAACATTCGATTCCGAATGTTTTAAATACACTTCCTGAGAACAGCAATATCCACAAACAGTGGATGTATATACGTTTATCCACGGTTCTACTCAAACACGTCATTCGACTGGTAAACTCTGTTTCTTTTATACGTCTGATGATTTACCAATGGACCACTTACCTACTGACTCGATCTCTATACTAATGGGCTATAACCGTTCGATGCATTAACGAGGTACTTAACATACGTGGAAAGTGCGTGAGCGTGCGTACGGACGCAGCGTTACGGTCAATAGAACGCGAACCAGGCACAGACCGTTAGGGTTTTCATTTAATTATAACGCGATACAAGGAACGGACAATGTCGATCGGCTATACCCGAGGGACAGAAAAGGAATCGACTCTTATTTTTAAACAAAACTTGCTCCTGAGTACGCCCACGCGTCGAACTTGGAATGTTGACAGAATTCACGTGCGGCGCCGCGATAATTCTCACGTGACGAAGTACAACGAAAATATGAAATTTCTCTGGTAAAAAGAAACATTGGTGACTCATCGAAAAGCATTCCGTTGTGGCGCCTCGTCGCGCAGCTTGCAAATTTTTCGTCCATCTTTCGCAAACTACTCGCAAGAGATAGCTCCGCGAGCAACCTCTTCGCGAGGGTAGAAATAACGCGAGAGACAAATGCAATTTCCGATCGATTCTCCTCCAGTAACATTCAACAGTGCAGGGTCCTTCGATTTGAAAGACGGCGAGGGCTATTTCGATCCTCGACGAAACTCGGTTCACGGAGTTTTAACGTTTGATTAAGCTGCGTAGTGCGCCTCCTCCTTACCTAGCGTACTCTAACCTCGTCCATCATTTCCAGGCCTTCGGCTAATTTTAACTCGTAAACCAAATATTAGCCTTATAATGGACAATGGACAAACATGCTCGATCTGAGCCTCGACCAGCTGCTTACGTAACGTTTATCCAAAATCACGTGGCTCTTGCGCTTCTACGAGACAAACCACACCAGATTCGCAAACTTTCTTATCTTTCCCAAGCTTTCTGCGGTTATCAACGATCAAGTTATCGAGCGTAAAAAAAGGTGAAACTTTGTCGTGTCGTTCCGTTACGAGAGATTAGGCTCGTCGCGTATCTCGGCAGCTAGATCGTTATATAAAATATTTCTTTATTTTATTCGCGATGAAAATACAAGTGTGTATCGAGGAAAACGAGGGGCTCGGCTGGTAACTTAGACTACATGCTGTAAATCGATTAATCATAGGAATGTAAGTCGTACATTTTGTACAGGTTATTAAAATACGTAGGTACACAAATATGGCGGGAATTCTGTTACGGTGGTAAGCCAGACTGCTAAGGCGGCGTTCACGTGGCCGCCGGTAATTATAAGTGTTTGAATAAATAGCGGAAAATATTCGTATAAATAAAACTGGGATATTTAAAATCTACGAACCGAAGGAAAATCACAATCGTCGGAGGAAGCTATCGACAGGTGTTTCACTGGCACAAACAACCCATCCACCGGTTTCTATATCCTTAAATTCTTGGCACGAGGTTCGAGCTGGTTTCAAAAATAAGAAGAGCGACGACAAAGGAGGAAGAATCTCTCTGCTCGACGAAGCTGCTACCTCGAAGATATTCGGATCAGCGGCTACCTCACCGTACCATTCCGTGATTCAGCTCATTAATTAATAATTACACTGGTAAGTACAATAGAGTAGACTCGTACAAATGAATGCACGCGAACCGGTGCCTGCATATCGAGGACAGGAATCGGCTTGACTCGCGCGATACGTAGAACCGAGTAAACACTTAGCCTATTTAACCGTTAACGCGCCTATTCACGACTCGAAGCGTATTCTTCTCAGGAATTCTTGCGGAAAAAATATTGAGTCACGCTAACGAGAACCCGAGCACGTCCTCCAACGAGTAATCGAACAGCCTTAGGTCTAATCTGTACAAGCTCGCCAATTTTCGTAGCTGCTTGTATGTCAACGTTGAATAGTACTTTTCCAGCTTCTTCACCGTTGGCACGCTGTTCGCTGGTTTCGCCGGGAAACTGCAAAAGTGATTAATCCCTAGATTAATCGTGTCCCAAAAGGAGAAAAAGGCGGAGCTCTTACCTGACCGACTCGACGCCCATTCGCTCCAAGACCTCCGTGGCATCCTCGACCAGGCTCTCGTACTTGCTGACGAGATTATAATTAACCAAGCACGGTTGACACAGCTCGTATATAGGCTTCCAATGCTCGTTCCGCGTCTCGTTTGACGAATCGTCCGTGATGAACTGCACGAACTCCCGGAACGTCACGTCGTCTCCGTTTCTCAGCGACTCCTCGGTCGCGTTTTGCCTGTACCTCTGTAAAACGAAGTGTCCCCATTGAATTCCTCCGATATCCTTATTGGGCCGACGAAAAAAAGGAAACGAGTGAATAAAAATAAGAAGAAAACGGTACCCTGATAATCTTCTTCCCGAAACGAGTTTGAAAGTACCTCGAGCTCTTCTCGTGTTTCGCCTCCAACTTGTTCCTGTAGGCGGACAACAATCTCTCGAGAGGGTGTCTGACGACTATCAGCTTGTCGTAAGTCGCCAGCATCCGTTCTATTTCGGACAAGGTATAGTTACTCAGCCTTTGGAAGGTACCCGGGGAATGCGCCTGATCAGCCGGTATCTCCATGGGATCATTACCTGGCCACTTCCCCGTGGCGACCATCAGAACTCGTTTCCAGTTCGTGCAGGCAACCTGATACACGGGTCGAGGATTTTAAAAGGAAGCAAAGTGCAATGATAATGCGTTTAACGCCAATCCAAATCCAAAGCAATGAATTCTAGGTACGTTACGCGTAGTACATGCTGCATATCATTTAGGATTCGAAATATCGCAAGAGCAGGTGAAACTACTTGACCGAGAGAACAAGATTTCAAGCATGCGAGGGTAACGTTATCGTTGCTAATTAATCGGAACTCGTAATTCTTGCAAAACGTTAAGGTATCTGTGTAAAACCGTTCTCTTAAAAATCCCCACTCCGCCTTTCCTTCGTGTTACGTACCTTTGGAACGTAACAGTAGAGAAGTTCGTGCTGCTCGTCGACTAGGATGTTCCTGAAGGATTCCGGGTTCAGGTCGTCTTCCTGGGTAACTCTGTCCCCTAGAATCTCCTCGCAATTGTACTGCAATCTCTCCTGACGTTCCACCAAAGCCGATCTCGCCAAGGCGTTCGGTCCTGTCCAAGAATACACAGAATCCTCCGTCTCGAAGGATCTTCGTCTCTCATCGTTCGTCGAGGTAAGCTCTCTGGCTGTGTACGCGTCTATCGCGGGAGTTGAAATATTGAGGAGAAGCAGAACTGTCCCCCAGACACGACATTCTCTCATCGTCTGTCTCATCCACGCGGGACATTGATTTATCCTAGTATAATAATTATTCGCCGAGCCTGCTCGTTTAGAAGAATGTTCCTGAAAAATCAAGAGATACGCTCGATCAGAAATAGAATTTCTTTTCGTACGAAAGAAACATCGTGAAATGGAAATGGAGGAGAAAATAGATGAATCTTGTTTGAAAAAGAAAAAAAAAAAAAAACACGAAGAGGAAGTGTTTGCTTTCGCAATTCGGTAGAAAAATATCGCGATCGAGTTACGAGCTTTGGCGAATCAATCCTAATCGGCTGAGAAACGCCAGCAGTCCTGGAGCGTTTTTTCAACTATCGTCTTGTTTCAATTAAACGTCATTGATGTCAATTCTCTCGACTCTAGCCGTGTGTTCCCCTCGGCACGGATCGCGTGCGAACTCCTAGAATCAGCTCGTAATTCCGAAACGGAAAACGGGAAATAAATATAACAGTCGGAGCGTAGTACGACCTGCACGTCGATCGGAAATCAAGTTGTATGTTAATCAGGTCGAACGTCACCGTTTCGAGTTCTGTTCCGATCGAAGCGCTTCGAAGCCGGTTCTGAATGGACAGCGCACGGTACGTTTGGCGTCTAGAAATCTGGAGCATACCTTTCGTTTGATAAACATCAAAACTGGGCTACGCGCAATTCCTATCGCATCCCAAGTCAAACGATTCTACGATGGAACAAAGTTTTGGACAATTTATCAGGAAAACGCGGCACCGGAGATATCGCCGCGAGCAAAAGACCTGTTTCGAAATTTCGCAATGTACGTTTCGTTTTGTCCATGACATCATTTAATTTCCCGAGCACAGAATCGGTATTAGTGTACAGAATGCGATAATTTACGAGTACGTTACGATAACAGTATCGGTTTCTGTTGCACAACTCGTGCTTTCTCGTGGAAGACCGTAAGAAAATGAATAATATCGCGAAACAACGTTATTTTTATAAAAGCGAAATATTTTGCACTGATCACGGTCAGAATTTTGCCATCGCGAAATTTTTTTTGCTTTCTTTATTTTATTGTGCATGTCGTAATATCTTTACGAAGGTATCGCAATGCAAACTGTATGGAACTAACTAGCTTTGCGCAAAAATCCACAATTCCTGCTCCAAATACCGCTCGAAGCATTGTCAATGAAAACTTAGATATTTATAGCAATGAAATTACTATGCCCGTTATAAACGACTCGTGGTTATCGTTGACACTTCGCGCGAACGTTAACTAGTCTTGACGACGGAGCTGTCCGCCAGATTTTTATTAATAAAAAGATCATCGCGAGAGCTACAGATATTTCTCTATACGTTTCATACATCTATCGTTCGATTCCTGAGAAAACTGGTCCCTATCGAAGTAATAATTAACCAAGTATTAGCGACACACGGACCCGCTTTATCGGCGCAAAGATAAATGAACTAACCTCTCGATAATCCTCGATAGCCCTAGTTCACCGGTTCAGACTGACGCACAGAAACGAGCATTATTATAAATGAAGAAATAGGTGTTGAAAATTGATTACGTCAATGAAGTAGCGAAGCAACTGAATGGCAAACGACATCGCTAATCAAATCTCTTATTTCATTACGTAATGCCATTAAAATTTGTTCTTGACCGCACCATTCAATCTCTCCTTCTGACTAATAACTACAAGCGTAATAAGACCGTGGCTCATCGTTACCTTCGTTATCGATAAATAACAGTGGATCGATCGCGTACTATATCAGTGCACTCAACTGTCAATATGTGAAAATTGCTGGAACACGCGTCGACGTCCCCGAAACGTCGAAAGATGAGAGAGACTCACCTGTTACGCGTCGTAATATTGGTCCACGCGTTGCCAAAATCTACGTGGCATGCTCTCCTTGCTCGTGCAACCTCGTGAACTCTTTAACGACCGCTCCGTTGCTCGCCGAAAATTATTGAGAATCCTTCCGAACAATGTCCTTGATAAATGGCCTCTTTAGAAAAGCGACCTACATCTGACCAAGCCGTCTTTAACGACAGATATTCCGCTTTACATAGACTACTCGATAACAGAAACGACGGACGCGTGACGCGAAAAATCACTAGGAACGCCAGAGATATCTCGTGGCAAACACGCGGCGTGAAACAGCTCGGACGGTCGAGCCGATGTGCAAACGGCTATTGCCTTGCCTCCAAGTCCCTCTGACATAAGGATGGAACGTGGTGCCAGTTTGTAGAAGTGAAAGAAGCTGCGCGCGCGCGCGCGCGCATCCACATTTCGTCTTCGTCTCTTCACCGACTAGCACGTTCATCTTCCTTCTTTACCTGTGTTCCCACTTTTCAACCGTCCTCCTCTGCCAGAAAATTCAGAGACGGTGGCCGAACCGAGTGCGTCTGGCAGGTACAATGGAATCTATATATTTTCCTGCTTTGTAATCTGCCTACGCTGAATTTTAATTCGGTACGAAAACTACGTAAACAAGGATAAATTTTACGCAAAAACATTACCCGGAATCGATTACAATCGTCGACGTGCCCACATCACCAAGTTTGACTAATTGTTTCACTCGCTTACCGGAATATCATGTTCAATTTTGTCCGTAGATACGCTAATCATGGTCAGCACATAAACTTCTAACGATCGTGTTTCGTGCATCCTCGCGATACGCGAAATTGTCGACAGTGGAACAACGTGAAACGTATTCCATCCAAAATGGACGAGAAAAATCGAGAAAACGCTTCCCTGTGTATTTCTATGCTAACCTTCAGGCATTCATCATTATAGATCATGTATATTTAAATTCGCAATATCTATGATCTACAACCGTTTCAACAAGAAAACATGTTTGGAATATTGCACGAATAATGGTCTCGGGGAATAGAGAATAAATGATGAACTTTACATCCTTGAGTAATAAAAGGAAACTAATGAGAACATGTAAATTGGAATCAAAATGATAGAAATATTGAACATTGACTAAGCACATTTTCAATTACGCATTACTCAACGACAGGACGCAAATACAAATACCGAGAAAAATATATTTTGTCGTTTTGTCGGTTCACGTATAAAAAGGCTTTCTTCAGATTCGTCGTCACTCGTTCGATCACATGTCGCTTATAGTGGCTAGAGAAAGTGCCTTGCCTTCAATCGCCATTTGTACCGTCCACCTGCCACTGCTGGTTTTAGTCTCGCTTTGGCCTTCGTTGACTGACCATCGTTTGAAAATAAACGAAAGGCATTGTAAGAGACCGAGGAGGTGCGGCGTTTCGAGAAAAACATACGATGACACTATCGTGAACGTCAAATATTTGTGCTGTCGTGTTCACGAGAGATACGAAAGCTTCCCAAGAACTTAGGTAACTCGATACTTTCACATTTTGACAGTTCCAACTTTAAATATTCGCGACGAGTGAAGTAATATGGCCTCATCGAACTTCAACGGCTACATACGCGTCAGGAATTATGTTTATTATTTTATATATGATAAATAAATTATTAAATATCGTGTAATCGGCGCAGCGAGGGTTTAAAGGCTCTCATACAGAAATGTCAAAAATATGCGAATCATATTAGCAAAATGATTTGTCATTATCGCGAGTTTCCTTTCACGATAATATTTAATTAGACGTATGTTCGATCGTATGCTGTATTTTATGTAAATAACAGTGTCCAACGAGCGATATTCCAATTAAAACGCAAAATTAATTTTATTGGTGACTATTGCCGGCCACATCGTTTCGAACAATAGAACGATTATTTGATTGTTTGTAAGATATTTCGGTTATAAAAAGGTGAAATCGTGTCGATTGTGTTAAAGGAAAACGATGTTGCAAATGATATTCTGGTTGTTGATCGGTTTGCTGCTCCTCTGGCTGCTCCTGGATTATGTCAGCAAAATTGTCAGCATTCTATGGGAGATTCTCTCGCCGATAATCGACCTAAAACCGGTCGATCTGAAAACAAAATTCGGCGAATGGGCAGGTAATACTCGCGCACACATATTAGGTATTCGGCAAATATTTTGAAATATTTTTTTCTACGTACAAGTGGTGACCGGGTCCACCGATGGGATCGGTAAAGCGTACGCGAAAGAATTAGCCGTGAGAGGTATAAACTTGGTGCTAATCAGTCGTTCCATGGAGAAATTAGAGAAAACCAAAAACGAAATCTTACAAGAGAATCCAACGATCGAAGTGAAAGTAATCGTAGCGGATTTCAGCAAGGGAAAAGATATATTTGAAAAGTTGAGAGAACAGCTGAAAGATATTCCAATTGGTATCTTAGGTAATTGAACCATCTTCGTCTCTTTCCATACTTTATCTGCATTATTTAATTAATCCGTTATGCGTTGTGAAGCCAAGACGTTTACCTATCGGATATCATTAGCTTAAAATAGATATCTTTCTCGCATGGTATTCATTTATACACCGTTTCTTCGATTGATCGCATGATTGAAGCGTTAAAACACGTTTCAGTGAACAACGTGGGTATGATGTATAGTTATCCGATGTATTTCGGAGAAGTTCCAGAAGACGAATTATGGGACATTATAAATATTAACGTTGGGACTACCACGCTAATGACACGAATAGTCATCGGACAAATGCAGAAACGTGGAAAAGGCGCCATCGTCAACGTGTCATCCGGTTCGGAATTCCAACCGTTGCCGTTAATGACCGTATACGCTGCGACGAAAGTTTACATCAAGAGCTTCTCCGAAGCGCTCAGAACCGAGTACTCCAGATTTGGAATAACTATACAGCATTTGACTCCATTTTTCGTGAACACGAAAATGAACGCGTTCAGTGACCGGCTACAGGTAAACCAAAGGCAAACTCGTGGAGAGAAAGTAAGCAGATTTATCGATAATGATTACAATTGTTTGACAACGTTACAGGTATCCAGTATTTTAGTGCCTAATGCGGTAACTTATGCCAAAAATGCGATCACCACGCTTGGGAAAATGGATTCGAGCACGGGCTACTGGGGTCATGGGATTCAAAAGATTTTCACGCTATCTGCGCCAGTACAAATAAGAACGAAAATTGGATGGATTATAAATAAAGGTTTCAGACAAGATTATTTCAAGCAGAGGAGGAGTACCTAGACATCAAACTATCTTATGTTTATGCTTATGCTCACTACCTACAACCTACTGTTTTTCACTGTTGTTAATTAAATCGATAAATTTATTATATAGTTTATAATTATTAACGTGAAATACTGAATTTCAATATATACATAAGAAGTACATAAGACTGGAGTGATTAATTATTTGATAACTTGCGTTACTTCAGAAAATTAAATAATTCGTTTAAATAATTCGTTTATTAATCGGTGAACCGTACAAAAAAATAAGTAGTTCACCGATGAAGATTAAAATTCTTGATAAATCTATGTTCAAATGTCCTCTCATAAATGTATTTTAGAAAATACAATAAACTTTTTTAATCTACTTGAAATATCCATATCAATATCCATGTAAAATATTGTAAAATATTTCTTTTATTCTTCGTTTCATTTTCTACGAGATATCTTTAGTCTCTGCGTTAAGTCGTGAATCTTTTTAAAATCAAGACATATCCATAGACATTTATTAAATAATTAATTTTCATGACTATGAAATAAGATGAAAAATATGTAAATATGTAAACGTGTAAACATGTTACTATAGAAAAACAGCGACCCTGACATAAATCATGAATGAAAATGACATTATAAATGATGTTCGAAAATTATGAATTACCTAAACCTTACGATTTCGTTACCTTACTAAAATATATAAATTTTGACGTTTTACATTACATATAAGGTGTTTCATATACATCTAATAGTTATTTCATTAGTTTCTTAATATATTCAATGTTATTGTCGTATAAAATAGTTCTACAGAAAATTTTTATTAACGTATAATATTTATTTACCTAATAATATTTAATAATATTACACTTGCTCTAATATTTGCACAAAATAAAAAATATAAATGAAATATAATTTCGTAAAGATATAACCTGCGCAGAAAATCCATGAAAATGTTTCGAACTGAGCACCTTTGCGTACGCATTCCTAAATCACGTGATCTCAACGGTCAAATTCTCCGAAGGAGACGCTCATTTGCCATCCATGTATCAAGGCGGAAAGACGTTTGAATTTTCTAAACATTTCACATCACGGACAAGATGAGTCAGTAGTTTACGAAGCAGTTTGCACACGCAAGTGTGCCAATACAACTAATTAATCATGGAGTAAGTAATATTTGTTACCTGAAACAAAATAACTTCATAACCTACGTTGAACCCACGACGTGTATGTCTGCCATTTTGTGAATAGTTTTACTAACATGCTATTTTTTGAACAATGTTTATTTTTTCTCTATCGACATCATGTTGTAATCACATATTTCTAAAATTCAATTTATGATACAATTAAATTCTTAAATGCAATAAAAAAATTTAACCAGATGATATGATTCAATGTTGCGTCATAAGAATTTAGTTGGCCATTTTTCTTGCATTTTACGATAATATTCAATGGGTATAAGTTACTTCCAAATTGCACAACCAATAAATAACAACAAATAGAACAAATATGTAATTTACATATATGCGTATATACATAACAGATAATTATCTCTAGTCTATAAATGCTTTAATAAATAATTAATTTCTTTATGTATTCCTTTTTATTTTGAATTTTCGATTCATATTTCAACTAATAAGATATCTTCTTATACAATTCTTAAAATATTTAACAAAGAGTAGAATACATTTATCTTAATGAGGAATATATTATTCGAATTGTTATATGAACTTATTTACATTATATATTTACATAATGATACATATACATTTACATAATGACACATATATATTTAACTTTTTATATTTAATTTTCAGAGCCAATATGGCGCTCATTTTGAGCTGCGTCGCACAGACGACACAAATTTCTTTTCATCCTTTTTTGATAAACCTTGATTGGGATTGCGTTGATAATGGCATCCACTCAAGACCAGGAAATGTGGCTGTGGAAATTCGAGCCAGTGTCCCCTAATGGGACATTGTCGAATGAATTTGAAGATGATTGGTTCTTATTTGATGATAAATCTGTAGATCCTACTAAAAAAGTTGTTGAATCTGTTATGTACGAGGAACATCCTACTCGTGCACAGGTGGCCACAAAACTTTTGGAAAAATTAGATGAATGGATTAAAGAAGGTAAGTATTCATATGAAAGTTTTAAAATTTTAATATCTCAATATACATTCATTTATAGACAATTTAATTAAAATTAAGTGTCTAGGTTCATATTGATAAATATAATTATTCTTATAAACAGTTATTATGTTGAAATGTATCATTAAGATTTATGTACACAGTGTATTTGAAAAGTACATAATTATTTAAGTTTGATATCAATGCAATACGAATCAAACTATTATAACTTATATTTTGATTATAAGATTATAACTTCTAATATAAATGTAAGACTATCTCACATAAATAGTAAATGTATGCAAAAGCATATATTTTGCAACCCAAAATGTTTATACAGATTTATGTAGTAATTTGAAAACAGGTGCATAAATTTTGTTATGCTTGAATTGATTTGAAAATAAGAAATGATACAAGCCTAACATTACTGCAATATGTTGCATTTAAAAAGAATGCTATATATCATAATACGCTTTTAAATACCAAATGGTGTGTAAGTGTGGGCGACATTCATAATATATTAGTTTATATGTGTATGCATATATTAAATTAGCGACCTCTAGTTTTCAAAGCTGTCTGTACTAGAAGTGCAGAAACCAACGTTAGCGTTTTGTTCGACTGCATTCTCGATATTCCTATTGCTTTCAGCCTTCTCGCTTCTTCTAACATGTATCTTATTTTCCTTTCTTTTTTCTGGAAAGGAGAGTGGGACAAACTGGTTAACCTCTATACAAACGGCTTTGGTTGAAGGCCGATAGGGGAATGACGTGTATTTTACGGCGTTGGAGAAGGGGCGTCAGAGGGGAAAGTCCAAAGATAAGCAAGAGTGGTCTCTCGCAGTAGTGCAAACTGATCGGACGATTCTGTCGATTAGTCTTAGTTACGAGTCAACTTCCTGTTGATATTTAATTGTCCTGTAAATTTTAAACACTTTATTATTGTTTTAAATTTACAAGTATTTCAATTAGGCTCATTTTTTTGTACGAGTTAAAAAGTTTTATCTCTCTTAGTGTTAAAGTCTGTCACGTTTATTGTTCTTTACATGCGTGTGCCGACGGTGTCAGTGATCTTTGCAGCAGAAAAAATCGACTGTTTCATTCTTCATTGTGAATCATATACCGCATTGTATCCATGTTTTAAACATAAATAGACATTATTTGTTTCTAAAAAAACCATAACAATTTTATTCCGAATGTGATATTTTCATAACATACGTTAGCTTATTGCACGTGTTCCGAGATTTGCTTTGACCACCAGTGAGATTTGAAATCGCGTTAATTGTTAAATATAAAATTTTAAAGTATTTCTGTGAGATAGAAGCCATCGTGAATGGTGATTTTTAATTGATCATACCGATCGATAATCTATAACAAGTGATTGACAAAGTGCGTAGTATCCATGAACATAATTCAAGTTGTTGAACAATACAATAGCAACAATAGCAAGGAATACATCTAAAGAAACTGATAGAATGTGTATAATGGTTAAACAGATTCATGTGTAGATCAAAAATTTTAACAATATTGGCATCTTTAAAAGTGAACGAAGAAAAAGACTTGGCATCTCGATGTTGGAGTGTACTAATGTTGTATAATAGCATGCAGTTCGCATATCGCTACACGTGGAACCGAGAAATCATTGTCAATTCCCAAAAACTTGTAAAAAGACGTTGAATCGATGTGATTCGTGTCCCCGTGAATGGACTTGATTATTTCACGTCGACAAAAACCACCATACCATACATTAAAAACAGTTTTTCAATTTTATTTAATTATAACATACATGTATAGTCTCCCCTTTTCTGTTTTTAATAAGGATTCAAGCAAAACAGACGCACGTGATAATGGCTGCTATATGTTACAGCGGTACGTTTCCTTTCGCTCGCTTTATGTCCTCTCTCTTTCTAGCATTCGCTTCGATGAAAAAAATATCTTTATTACGCATATCAGAACACTGTTGCCACATTGTTCGTACAATCGAATAACAGAATTGGTTCAAGTCGTCTCTAAACAATTATTATGGAGTAACTTCGTTAAGAAATTGAATTCCCTTGACCTGTTGAAAATGTACCGCATTTTGGATAGTTTTTCTTTCTTCCTTTTTTACTTTTCTTTTCTTTTTTTTCCTCTAATAACAAAATCATTCTTTTTGAAAGTTTTATTATTAGTGATAGAGACATATATGAATAACATAAATTGTTTATAATTTTTCCTTAAAATAAAAATGATGCTCGAGAATATGTTATGACATATATGATTGTATGATATATGCGATTTCTCATGCATAGATTTTTTAAACAAAATAATATGAAGGAATATTAAATTAATCTAAATTATCTATCGTCTCATGTAGAAAACGTTTTCCCACTTTGTCAAGAACTAACGGAATCGTTTCAAGATAAAAATTTCTGTTCTGCAAAAAAGTAGATCATTTATTTGTTTATAAATCACATAAAAATTAAAAAATCGTACATCGAATTTATTTTTGATCAAATTACTTAAATTTACGTTTTACTTTTTTTTTTCTTTTCTTTTTTCTCTTTGTTTCTCTCTTTTTTTTTTAAGTAACAAAATCATACTATGTACAATAGCGCTTTATAATAAAAAAAATATTCTTATCTAACCCCATGCCCTCTGTATTTAAATGAAGATAACTTACACACATAAACTTAGACTCTGATCCAAGTTTCACCAAGAAATAGGCTAGGGTTCATTTGTATATTATAATGTAATTACTGTGGATATTTTATTATCATATTTTTCCTAGCAAGCAAATTTTATTTAATTAACTAACAAGTGTAAACTTCCTATTTTTATTTAAATATTTAATGTATAAATGTAGGTCTTGCATAAAAAATACAACATTTTTGTTTCTTTTTTTCCTCCCGTTTTTGTCTTCTTCAATTTTTTATGAAAACTCAGTTTTAGATATTATTTTAAAATAACATCTTCAATATCAGATTGTACTCCAAATAACAGTGTTATTATATCAGTCTTGGCTGTAATATTAGAAGCCAAAGAAATTGCAAATCAGGAACTTGTTTTTCTAGTTAAACTAGTAACGTCCATGAAATTATATATACATCAATGAACCACTCCTACTTATTCTTTATGCAAGACATAAGTAAAAGTACTGTTAACTTCTAAGTTGACAAGCTATACAATTGTATTGTTTTGAATTATTCTTTTTTAATGTACTAATATGTAAATTCATATAATTTAAAATGTTATATTTTTATAACAATAATAATAGTATTAAAAAAATATATTTTAATAATACATTTATGTAAATAGTTCTTGATTAAAATCTTATGTACTACCAATATTTTAAAGGATCTAAAATTCCTACACTTTTGATCATTAAATGGAGAAAAAAAGAAACACAGATATATCTTTATCTATCTTTTACTTCATATTAATATATGCTATATGAACTAATTATGAATCAAAATGATAAAGTTGTCTATTTTTTACAGAACCCTTTTCAGATTGGTTAGAGGAGAAGATAGAATTACCTATTTTTGAAGAGCTACCAATTGCTGAGAATGGACAAATCAAGTCAACAACATATAATGAAATTACAAAAGCTCCCCAACAAGATGATACCCAAACTCTATTGCAAGAATTTGAAACTGTTCTGGGAGATGTGGAAGCTTGTCATCAAATAGTCCCTTCATCAAGTTCCACTCTTACACCTCCTCAATCACCTCCACCACATAAACCATTAAATGTGGATACCCAGTTACTTGTTACTTTACAACCTGTACAACCGTTGTATTCTAATCAACATTCCATGTATGGTATGGTAGTTCCAGAGGAGAAATCATATGTAAATGAAGTACCTGTACAATGGAATACGAAAAATGTACCATTGGATCCATTAAACACAGATGTTGCACATGATTTAGCTGTGGTGGACGAATATGTACGTTTATATACAGAAGATATTCCACCATCTAGTCCTTGTACAAGCTCTGGTGGTAGTTACATTTCATCGGAAGATTCCATGGATGATCCAGATTGGGTTTTAGAATCCGGAAAGAAAGGAACAAAACAATCTACGTGTATTACAGCAAAACATCGGCAAAAACCTTATTCTCGTCCGTCAATCGAGGATAAAAAGGTGCGGAAAAAAGAACAAAACAAAAATGCAGCAACACGATACAGGCAAAAGAAGAAGCAAGAAATTAAAGAAATAATAGGCGAAGAACGTGAACTTACTGAAAATAACGAAAAATTAAAAAATCAAGTAACAGATTTACAACGAGAAATTGGGTACTTAAAGGGTTTGATGAGGGATTTATTTAGAGCTAAGGGTCTTATCAAATAATCCATTTATCTATCAACCATAGTTATATTTACTCATTTTTATTAAATTAATTAATGTAATTTTTGACACTAACTACTTTACAATAATACTAATAATATGTTGTAGTATATAGACTTAGATTAATGATTGTTATTTTTTTCTCTTTAACTAGCTCACATAATGAATATGAATATGAATCTAAGATCTATCACAGCTTCTTAGTAGGACTACAGAATTGTCATTACGTAATTCATAAATTATGTACCATCTCCCAACTCGTTCGTGGTCCATTGAAAATTGGCAAACAAGATGCATTAAAGAATAATAGAATTAATAAGGTATACAGCCCTATGAAACTTATTCAAGTGGAAACTTGCTGTTACTAAAAATTCTATTCATGATTTAATACATCTTAATGGTGCAAATTTTTCATTCCAAGCAATTCTAACCCAATCAAATTTTGAATTTTCTTACAAAAAGATATTGTATTAGAAAATAATAAATGGGTTATTATATAATAAATGTTGACATTATTGTCGAAATTATTCGTGTTTTTTTAATTTCCTATAATTTTATCCAAAATTATTATATCCTGTAATAATATTTAAAATTGATACAAATAAATGTACTTTGAAATACCACTCATTTTAAAAATAAAGAAATCATTTTTATTATATTATTAATATACTTGTAAAATGAATTATTTTTACTGTGAAGTATCTAATATTTTGTGAGCAAAACATTATGAGAGTCCTAAATTTTGATTTACGTGTTACAAATATTTTTAATTAATTATTATTAACAAAATATTTGTAAAATGAAAATTATCAATATTAAAAATAATTTTTAAAGTACTTTTATAAAAAAAAAGCATTATTTTGAACATGAAAAGTTTATCAAATTATTTATTATTATTTATTATTATAGATTATTATTTATTACTTCCCTCTATTTGCACAAATAAAATTTGTTCTTGCATTTACACATTCAATATCAGAAATCTATATGAAGAATCTACATAATAAAGTAAATTTTGATGATAAACGTGATACAAAGTAACACGTACTATATCAGAGTTTCTGTTCCAAATATCAGAGATTAGAATAAAAGTAATGCATATATTAATTGTTTCCATTCGTAAAATAAGGTACTATATTTTAAATATAATAGAAAGATAATATAGAATGAATATAGATAAAATAATAATACAGGAAGATAATAACAGTAAAATGACTTTTTTAACATTAGTTGCTTATATATCACTTTACAATTAATCCACTACATAAAACTAACTAACCGCAAATAACTTACTATCTTAATCACTTATTTAACTGTTTGTTAAATTTTTTATTTTATATTCGTATTCGATTTAAAATGACTTCCGTGCGAAATTGCACCAACGCAAATACGGGTATGTATATATACATAACATATGGAGAAAAGGAGTGTAGATAAATTAAATGTATATATATGCATAATCACTAACACACACGTGCGCGCACGAGCATATATTTACATATCGTAATCAATAACATAACAGTTATATATACTTAAATACAACTTACATATACAACTATAATCAATAGCATAGAACAAATTACAACATATAGCTATTTAGAAATTTGAATGCTTACAGAAGTTCTTTTGTTTTTTATGTACTAATTCATTATTACTAACTAATCACATGTTATGATTAGGCAATATTAACCTTGTGTATCTTTGTACATATGTATTCTTATATGTACACATATAAAATGAAAAAATTACTCTTATATTGTAATGCCAATTATAATATATTTCTTGCAAAAAAAAAAAAGTGTTAACTGTGATATTATCATATGTAATTATTATCAGAAATTGAATAGTGTTTTTATACGCCTCATAATTATTTAATTTTATTGTTTATACATTATAATATACTACTTCCTCTATTTTTAGTCTAGACTCTATTATTAATTCAAAAAATTGTTTATAATAAACACAGAATAACGTTTCTTCAAATCAGAAAATTATACTCAAATGTATCATTAGTGGTAAATATATTACGTTTATGCAATTAATGCAATTTACAGATTTCCGTAAATTCAAGATTTTTCAAATTTAATATACCTTAATTACATGTATTATGTAGTTACATAATGTATTGACAATAAATATACATACAACTAATTTAATAATATGTATATGTACTAGCGATAAATATACATATAATTAACTTAGCAGTATAAATAAAAAAGCATTGATAAAATGAAAAGGTCTGCAATACAATCAACAGTTCATAAAATTTTTAATCAATCATGTCTTAGTTTTGCTGAATACCGATATAGATATACATTGCTTATTAATTTAGCTTCATGGCTATATTCATACTATTTTTATATATTAAAAATACATGAAAACAATGTTGAGTATTGCTAAAGATTGTCGTACAAATATGAGAAAAGTAAATTACGTATATATAAAAGAATCACGGAATAAACTATTATTTAGTACATAGTTTACAAAAAAGAACTTAAAACAATTTTGAATATGGCAGTTAATCCAATACAACGTAAATATAATTTTTTGGAATGTCATAAACAAGGATCATGAGTATTTATGATTTGGTATATAAACATGTTAAAATGGGAAAATATTATTACAATCTGATAAGAGTAAAAAAAATCTTACTATTTTTCAGAATCTAAAGTATAACTATTAAATATGAGACATTAAGTAGCTTTCAGTAAATATAACTTTTTGATATAAAAAACAATTATAATATAAATATATACAAATGTGTACATACTTTTTAAACTCATACATTTGCAAATAATGTGTCAAAATAAAGAAAATAGTTATTGATTATAAATATTGTCGACAAAAATAATTGAAAATAAAATAAGATGTTAAATCTTTTTTCATTTACGAAATTAAATGTTTAGTATGTAGCTATTATACTTTTGATGTTATTGTTTGCAAATACACCTTATGATACATGTAAATTCAATGTATATCTATATAAATCGCTAATTGCGTGCATAGGTTCAATATCTTAAATTAATTATTCATCATACTTGAAAGCTCTGAAAAACTTTTAATGTTTTTCTATGTTGTAGTATCACCTTCCTCTTGTTCAAGTCTACATGAACCACATACGCGACATTTACAGCATACAATACATGGTGCAGCCAACAAAAGTAGTGGAGATGCAACTAACAAGAGTAATCCAAATCCAGCAAAAATTCCAATAACTTGTGTTCTATGCCAAATAACCGATGCACGTGAGTGACCCAATTTATTTTTACATGGTCCTTTGTCATAATGTCGCAATAAAAAATCATCCTATATTGTTTAATACAATTATAGAATTAAAAAGTTTTTAGAAGTGTTATTATTATTATTACCATAAATAGATATACTTACATCTAAAGAAGCTAAACAATACCAACAAAAAACATGTTTACATCTTTTACACATCATTTGAGCACATCCTTCATCCTTTTCAATAGGTACAAAACACATAGGACAACATTTGATATGATCACCATCAAATGGTATACCTAATGAGATATCTGAACAAGGACCAGTATGCCATGATTCCCGACATATGGAACAGAAATCCGTAGAGCAATTAGGGCAATGGACTGGCCCAATAGGAGTTCCATTTGATTCAGTAGCATTTATAGAACATATTGTTTCACAATCTGCACGTGGACACCAAGCACGTGCTTTGTCCATAGACACATCTGAGTTACATAAGAAATTATCAAACTGAGTTATTAATGTTTGTGATAAATAAATTTTACATACCTCTATTCAATCGGAATTTATGATGTTTTTCCACAAGCTCAGCACTAACAAGACTTGATATTTCCTTCATAGAAAGTATTGCTCCGTGTTCACATTGTGCATCAGGACAACTAATTTCATATGCACCTTCTTCAATTTCAAACTCAACATATGCTTTCATACACTAAAACATACAAAGATCATATATATTCTCATATATGTGTACTTATAAAAATACTATTAGGCTTAAGAACTGGTCATAAGAAGTAAAATACTTTGCACATACATCTTTACAATAGGAACAACCACAGCCTTCTATCTTAAATGTTTTAGAAAGAGACGTATCAACAAGACATAATTTACAAAATACACGTCCAAGTGTTTGTTGAGAACATGCAGGAACAAAGTTGCCTGCAGCTAAACTGTAGCGTGAACTAGATGCCAATGATAATAAACTGGAACAGCGAGAACATACTCGGCTGCGATTTATAGGTCTGCCTTCTAAAGCAGAAGTGCTTAAACCCACAGCAGTTTCGCATTTTCTTAATACTCCAGGACCTAAACTCAACCAGCTATTGCCACGAGCTTCTAAGCTTGCACTACTTTCAGGTCTAAGTAAAGGAGCATCTACTCCTTTTCCTGCTGTACTCCTCTCTGTTAAAGAAAGATTTACAACACTGGCTTCCTTGCGTAATAAAGGTAATCTGACTCCCGTAAGTTTATTAGACTTATCAACTTTTTTCTGATTTGTAGTAACTTTATTAGAAGGATTGACAGATGTCACAGAACTAGTGGCAGTACCCATATCCATTAGTGGAGCTCGTCGTACGACGAGCGAATGTAGGCTGGGCATCCCCTAATTATCAATGTAGATTTCACTACTAGTTACAGACAAGAGCTGTGCTTACTGACTTCTTTTGGACAGTTTGCAACAGCACTTGCCATATAATAGAAAATGTATGTAAATCATGAAATTTAAAAATGTCACACCCATGAAACAATTTGGCACTGCATATTTTAATCCACTTAATCCAATATAGGTTCACAATATTTTTCATATTTCATTCTATTTGGCATTCCAAGTTTTACTTTTTTATAAATTCAAAGTGACTGAATATTGATTTCTATTTAAAAGTTACAAAGTTGTGTTTTTATGATGTACTCATATTTTAATACAAAACCTGCTGACATATTACATTCTTGACTTAATCTTTAAAAAATCGAATCAGAAACAGTTAATCAAAAGGGTAAACTGATAGTCAAACAACAATATAGAAATTAATTCTTCGAGATAGATAATACATTGCTAACAAAACAGTTGAAAAATATTACTGTCTTTCAACATTATTTATGTTATGCTTGTCAGTTCAAGATATATCCCGAAAGTAACAAAATTGCTACGTAGTATTTCACACATATTTAATATTTAAAGAAATACACATCCATTAATATTTTGAACATCAATCATTACAAACGTATGTTTATTCCATTAGAATATTGTTCGATTTTATAGTTTTTTTTTCTAGTTTCATGGCCTTTTCACGTACTATGTCACAAAGTACAGCAAACAGTATATACAAATTACCGACTAACTACTTCCGCCCCCACTTGCTTGTACTTTTTTCTTACAATATCGGAAAAGATTATCACTACACTCATATTACGATATACATAGGTATACATAGAAAAATCATAATTATTTATACTTTAACATATTGTACTGCATTTCTACGGCTCGTAATATCTTAACTCATAATATAGAAACTGTACATTACATAGATTGAAAAAATTGAAAATTTTAGTACAACATATTTAAAATACTAGTAAATTTGTAATATAGTGTTGTAATACCATATTAAGTCCTTGTTGATAGTAATAATAAGTGACATCATATTAAAACATTTATTGTTTTCTTTTTCATTATTATAATTTTTATTATTTCATATAAAATCCGTAGGGACATAATACATTTCTATATAACTTTATAATATTTTACTTTCTTCTTTTAAGATAAAATTATTATTTTATTTTATAAACTTATCAGTATAAAGGAGGTAACTAGTAATATTATGACAAGTATTCAAATCACAGACTTTCGGTATAATATATACAAATTAAATAATGAAATTTTGAATATTATTTGTGTGTAATACATCTTAAAAACAAGTTAACCAATTGATTTTATACATTACAATTACTAAATTAATCAAAATGCAATCAACAGGAACAAACTATGTTAAAAATTTCACACAGATGGCTGTATATGCTACGCATCATCGATATTAGTATACTTATTATTTTAAGAAAATATATATGAAGATGCGGGAAATTTAATTTTAAATTAAACTAATAACAAGTAAATTAGGATTACACTTTCCATATTTGTTTTCTCACATTGTCTATTGAAAAGATTTTTTATAACATAAGTATAATAAATATTAAGAAATAAAAGTTAGAAAAATATTTATATATTATTTATATGCGTAACACAATATTTTCATACTTAATATTTTATTTCTTAAAAACCAAATGTTTTATATAAATAAAATTTTATAACAACTGGGAATCATTTTTATTATAAACTTATATAAAAAATGAGCAATCATTTTATTATACATTTTTATGACACAAAAATGAATGAAACTTAAAAATATGATGTTAGATAATTATACTATAGGTTATTACATTTTCGATACAAATATTAAAAATTAGAACATATAAACATTAATATTTACATACTAATGTGAAGAGATTCGTCGTTTGTTTTATGTCACAAAATCTATGGAGTATTTTATCATTTAACATTTAAGATTTATTACAATTATATCAAAATTGAGCAAATCATATATTAGCAAGATTCAATTACAATAAGTAACAATGAAAATAAAATAAATTTAATGAAAGATGAAAATAGATGGTATTTTATCTATAACATAAGGAAGCAATATTTATGAACACTTTCAATGAATGACAATATCAATTACAGACTTATACAGCTGGTGTATAGTCTTAAACTGTAGCAGTCTTTATGAAAGGTGCATATTGAAATAATTGCTACAAAAGTTTTTTTTGACTAGAATATTTTGTCTTACTTGCTTTTTTTCTAGATATTATGTGTTACTTAAAATTTAAAATAACTCAACTAAGTTGATAATTATTGTATACTATATACTATCAAACGATAATACTTTATGAAACATGGCATGAAATTGCATGGAATTTTTACATTGCAATTTTGTGAATAAAGATATAAGGATGTAAACTATATATTGTCAAAATTAAGATTTGTATTTTTTGATTTTATAAATTAAGAGGTGTATAAAAAGAACAGAATAATTCATTAGCTACAATTGTATCATAGTTATCAAGAATTGTACGAATTACTTACAATTAAATGAATATTTACTACTATACAACAAATTCGTTTGTATGTATCTATACAACATACTTTATCATTATAAACATTTCTGCAACTTCATTAAATGTATCTTACATGTAATGAATGTAATAAATTAAATGACAATTTAAAGGACTGCACAGAATTTGTTGTTACATGAGTCATGATTTGTTATAACTGTGCGTTAAAAATGACGTTAATATAATAACTTAAAATGTATTATATATTTTATAAAGAAATATTTCCAGGTATACTATACTGTCCTTTCCGGGAATGTGTATCAACTGCTCGAACTGCGAAGTAATAATTATTGCCTTCAGAAAACTATAAAAAAGAAAAAATATTAATATTATAGGTATTTATAAAATTTGTATTAATATTTTAACAATTCTTCGTTCAAATTACTTGCGTAAGTGTGCACGCCATAGGTAGTGGTAAAGCCCGAACATCGCCTACTTTTTTCCACAATGATGTATTAGGAGGAACGCCAGCAATTTCTTGGTATGCATATAACTGATAACTAACAATATCTGCATATTTGTCCGACAAGTTCATATTCCAAGACAATACTATGCCTACACAATAATAATAAATTTTTATTTGTTTATGTTCTTAATATATATAAATTTGCACTTTGTAACATACCATGTGCAACTTTAGAAATTTTTAATGATGGCGCTGGTGGTGGAAGTTTCCAAGCAGGATTTACAGCATAATTGCGAATATCTGGTAAAGGTGCAGGATGCTGAAACAAATGTAATTATGAAAAAATAACTATATTATTAAAACAAAAATATTAATTTAAAATATACCTTATTTAACTGAACATTTGCAGTAGCTGGAGTTGTTAAAACTCGAACTGTTCCATTTGCAATTGTTGATATTCCTGTTAACAAGATTATATTATATCTATATATTACTTATATTGTTTATTTGAATGAAACTACTTACCCGTTTTGTACGTTAAAGTTGAAAATGAAGCTCTACATGAAGTCACTGGCCGTATCTATGATTGTAAACGTTCGTTATAAAACTATAAACTAACTAAAACTGTATATTTTCATTTCATCTTACTTAATAAAGATGTAACAAAATATTTATTTTACCGGACTGGAATTTGGTGCTATTAATAGCTGCCTTGTTGGTCCTACACCACTTTGCATTACATATGCTAATCGAGGCGCGTTCATATTATTCTAAAAAAATATATATGAATATGCGCAGAGTTAATGAGAAATTTATAACTTTTTACTTACCACTAAGGCAGTAGGTGTTGGTTGGCTAGCAGGTTGTACCACTCTTATACTAGGAGGTTGACTTGTTATGGCTACATTCCCAGGAATAGCCTGGATTACCCTTTGGAAGCAAGGTTGTTGTGCTTTTTGAGCTAAATTTACTTGTTGATCAGTTATTGCAGTTGTCACAACTGGTATACCAGTAGCTATAAATTATCAAAGTTTCCTTAACATATATTTTGATTCATTTAATTTATAAAAAGATAAAATAATATAAAATAAAGGATAAAGAAATGAAAGAAAATTGTGAAAGTTAGTACCTTTACCTTTTCCCTCTTCATCTGTAAGATCGATAAGATCATTTGCACGTGATTTCGCAACAGTTGTCGTGGTAGATCCTTGACGATTTATTTGACTTGGAAATTTTCCATTTAAAACTATTGTTTGCTGCGATTGTTGTGGTTGTACTTGTGGCTATAAAAGTCGATAATATTTCCGTTTTTTTCTTTTTTCTCTTTTTTTTAGATCAATGATAAAAATAAGAAAATTTTAATGAAATTATTTTAATGAAATTTAGTGAACTTACATTTGATATAATTTGTTGAACACTAGGTTGATTTGATATCGTCAAAGAATGCTGTGTATCTACAGGTTTAGCAACAACTAAAGCTGCAGGGGTAATAGTAGTCATTATGTTTGGAGACTGCGTATGATTTTGTGACACCACAGGAGTTTGTCCACTTATTGATTCACTTCTTCTGGGGGATCTTACTTTAATTCCTCTTCTTGGACTGGATGCATTATTTGGTTCGTTAATTGAAGTATTTGATACATTATTACTACTTGAAACATGTAAGGACTTCATATTAGAATTTTGTTGTAATTGCCGCAAACTTTGCATTCCATGATCCTATATAAATAAATATTGTAATAAAATAAATTAAAAATAAAATATAAAATTATTTCAGAAAAATATTTTTCATGTACCGTTATAAAATTAACTTGTAATCCAACAGATCTATTGATTTTAATTGGTGGAGTAGATTTGTCATTATTTGCACGTCGATCTGCAGCATTACGACTTAATACCATTTCAAAATCTTTAATTTGTTTAGCTAGTTGTTGACACTTCGCTCGCGTTGCTTCTTGATTTCTCTCTGATATGCGTGCTTGTTCTCTTAATTTACCAATTTCATCTCGCATAGTAATCGTTTCAACAATTTTTTGTATTAACAGTTCTTCTAATTCCTTAAAGAAATTATCATTAGTAAAACATAGGAAACTTTTATAATAAAATCATTGATTTAAATTTTTATATTTTCAACATACTTCCTGTTTTAATTTTGGCAGTTTTTCATTCAGATCTCTTTGGAAAAATTTATGAACATAATTAAGTTTTTTAATATTTCCAGAATTATTTTCTTGTGTTTTTAATTCATCACATTGTGTTTCAGAAATTATTTTAATTTTCTTAATACTACCATTCATAATATTATTATCAGTATCAGAACAAGTACGTTTTAATGAAGGTGGTGATAAAGGACATACATCTTGATTCATTTTATAATTTACAGCTACAAATTTTTCTGACCCGTCACTAGATTCTAAATCGCTATCATGATTAAGAAATCTTTTCCGTATTATTTCTTCTGCATTCTTAGCTGTTCGCCTCTTCTGTCTTCCACTTTCCCTAACTATAACAAAATATTGTAATAACAATCTATTAATTTATAACAGAAAATTTTTGATAAGTCACTCTTTAAAGAAATATATTTTATATCATGTAACAAAAAAAAAAAGAAAAATAGATGTTAATTATTTTAAGAAATATATACTTGCTTTTATATAATACAATATCATAACCTCTTTAATTTTTAATATGTGTACATAATATACATCCTACCTTGTTTATCTTCTTCACAAACAGTTTCTACAGCAATTGCCTTCTTTGTTCGCCTCTTCCTTCTTTGAGTAGTTACAGGAACTTCAATAGTTCTTTTATCATTCTCACCATTATTATTTTTTGTATCAATAATAAAATCTAATGAATCATTTTGTGGTTTTACACTCGATGAACTATTTTCATTCAGTATTAAGTTAATATTTTCACTTGGATTTGTTTTTTTACTTGTAGAGCTTATTACTGAGTTTTCTTTTTCTGTAGGTTTTATATCTTTCCCAGTAACATCATTATTTTGCTCCCAAAGATCAACTTTAGAATGAGTTATCTGATCTTCAGAAGAAATGTATTTATTAACTTCCATAGAATTTATACTATTATCACTACTTTTTAATTGGTTATCACATTTTCCATTGTTAATAATTGATTTTTCTGGTACAACATTTTGTTTAATTCTAATTTCATTATCATTTTTATTACTAGTTAATTCAGTTACTTCAATAGTTGTTGCTTTAAAAACATTGTTTTCAAAATCTTCATTTGATTTCATGTTTTCTAAAGAGACTTCCCTTTTTTTATTTTTAATAATTTCTTGTGTCTTACAATCAGTTACTTCTTCATTTATTATTAATTCCTTACTTATCATCTCCTTTTCTTTTAAAGTATTCAAAACAGTTATTTTACAATTGTTTTCAGGTAATTGTATCCCCTGGTTGATATCTGTCAATTCTTGATTTTTATTAAGTTCTCTTTCTTCTAAATTATAGATTTCTTTAATTTTTCCACATTCATCCATATCAGTTGTTTTAACTGTTTCATTTTGTTCTTGATTATTTATATTATTTTCTTCAATGTATTCTATAGTTTCATCCTTATCAGATTTATGTTGTATATCTACACTTAATACTTCCACTTTTTTAGAATTGTCAGTAATACAAAAATCGCTAGGATTAAGACCTGCATTATTTATATTACTTTTACTTACTTCATTCGCCTGCTTACTGTTATCATTATCACAAAAGTTGAGTGCTGAATTTACAAGTTTTTCACTGGAATTATCATTGATAGTATGAACTATGGTAACTGTAATGTCTTTACTCTCATCATCATTGCATACGATTATTCCTGAATTTTCTTCCAAGGTACGTTCTGATCCTAATGAATTATTGGCAGAATTAGTATTAATACTTTCTCCTTTAAAATCTTCAGCAGTAATATTCTCCACTTCTACTCTCATTGACTTATTTAATTGATCATTCTTGTTACTATTAATTGAAGATTCACTATGTAATGTATCTTCATCTCCTGGATTGCTGTCAACAATTTTTATAATTTTGATATCATTAGTAACTTCAGTTTTTGAAGATATGTCTTTATTTAAAGGAGTTTCAATATTTTGACCAAGTTCAGATGAATTATTTTGTTTTTGTATTGCATTAGACATAAAACCTTTTTTCTGCTGTCTGTTACCATAAGTTGACCTACTATATGAATTAAACACTCCATTGCCTCTTCCTCGTTCAAAAGGAAGAAATGCATTATGAAATCTAACATTGTAATCATATGATTGAAGTCTGTAACGTCCTCTAGGTGTTAGATAACGAAATCTGTTATAAGTATGGTTGGCACTACGAAAAATTCGACCATTAGGTATTCTAGGAAATCTCCATTGTGGTTCATAACTTGACCATGGACGAGGCATATTCATTGTTTGAGGCTTCATCGATTCATTTCCACTGTTTTTACCAATTTTTTCGTAATCAATTACTATCTTTTCATCATTATTTGAACACTGCCCCTCCTGGATTATGTTCTTGGTATCTGTTTCATTCTTCAATATATTTTTTTCTGAGACAGTAGGAATTTCTACATCTTTAGCTTTTGCAGATGTTTTTTCTGTAATTTAAATGAAATAATGTTATTTAGACTTCTTTTATTCATAATATGTACATCAATAATGCATGTATAACAATTACCATCTTCATTATTTTTTGATTTATTTTCTTCATTATCTAAAACAGGTGCTAGGATATCTTCTGTTTCAATCTCATCGTCATCAGAAAGTCTTAAACGCATACTATCATCTGAAAGAGCATCTTCTTCATCACCATCATCACCTGTACCATATAATAACTCTTCTTCTTTTTCTCTTGATAACTCATCAATATGGTGTGTATTAATACAAGATAAAGAATGCATGGAGTCAGAAGTACGTATTGTATCATTTCTTATAGCTTCCATCATAGAAAAGGTACAGCAATGCAAGACAATGTCACAAGCTACTCATTTAATATTTTTTAACCTGTAAATGATTACCTTATTTTCAATAACTTTATTTTAAAAAATAAAATATTAACTTTACACTCATAAATATATTTAGTTATATACACAATATATCAATAAATATATAAATAACTAATATTTTTGCACATTTACCTCAACTTTTTTAGTCAATTACAAGTAACAATTAAGTTTATTACAAATACACATTATAGAACTGATTTAATATAAAATACTATACAAAATTCAAAAAGAAATAAAATATTTACAATAATTTAATGTGTGATATTATTATTTTTATTTTGACAAATTTTTATTATTTTAAGTTTACAAATAATATTATCATTAAATATTATAATAAATTAATAATAAAATTTTCCAATTTATAAACTATAATACATAATTTTATCAATAATTATTGTTTTGCATAAATAAAGTTCATAAAACCAAATATAAAATGTATTTTATAACTAAAAAACAGAATATTACAAACTAGATAATGTTGCACAAAGTTACTTTTTAATTTGACATTTCAATTACAGTAAATTATTACAAATATATTAAAATTATAAGAAAGTGAAAATTTGTAGGCTTTTATTTTTCGTGCATCTATGTTTTTTGTCTGATATTATTATACCATTAAACGTGCAATATATACACGAAATTAATCATTAAAATTAACGATGAAATCATCTACGTATATATGATAAAATATTCAGCTTTCATAAAAAGATTAAAGATAATAAAATGTGGGCCCTGCAATGCGCGCCAACATATGACGTCCCTGGCCCATGAGTACTCAACTAATAAAAATGGCGGATTGGAAGTGTATTACTAACATTCGTCATTATATTTCAAATAACAGATATACCATATTGTCCCAAAAATACATATCATTATTTTAAAATAATTAAATATAATTTTTTACTTCATACCAGTAATACACTGAAAAAATATTTAATATAATAAACTAACAATCAATTTGTACTTTTGTATCACTAACATTATAAAACTTTGAAAGATTAATTTAAGTCAGAAATATTGTTCGTTTATAAAATCAAATACAAATACACGACACGAGTAATTCTAACTAATAAAAATGCTAAAATATTTAAAAATAATTATGATTGAAACTATGAAAAATTTATATTCAGAAAGGCGGGCTTCTCGGCAAGCTTCCCTATTGAACGAATACTGCTGAACATAGGCCCCGACATGTGTCCTAACGAAATTCGACGATTCCACACGAAGTCGACCAATATGGCGTCATAGTTCACTATCAATGAACTAATTCTTAATAAATAATAAAAATAAAACATGTTAAATAAAATTTCTATGACAAAGTTATGTATTTAACACATAAAATTATATTTATATTCTTATTCTTCAATTTTATACTGAACGAGTCAAAGTATTTAAAAAGTTTGTACTTGTGATACCCCCACCCCTTCCTTGCTTATGCACTACTTAAAGACACTTAATGTTTTACGCTAGAAATAGAAAATTTATATGTAATTTGTAAACATTTTATCAAATTTAATATAGTGACATAAATTTTGAAACATATATAACTTTTATAGGACAAAAATTTTTAATACAATATATTATAAAAAAATATTAATATCAAAATATTTGTATATACAAATATTTGTGAACATTATATTTTGCAATTTACAAATATTTTTATATTAAACGTTTGGTACTGTCTCTTTTTTTCCATTCACTGACGAGGTCAACATGCGTCATACTGGTAATACAATGTTAAATTCATTGAGTGGGAGAAGTGTGATACTTTCACAATTCATTACGAAGATCGATTTTATGGATCTATATGGATCCAATTATTTTCTTCTTATAATCTGAACCTTAAGTACGCTATTATTAAAAACAATAATGTTTTGTTATAAATATGATATAAATGTATTTAATAAAAATAAAACTCACAAATAAAACTTTCAACTATTGACCTCAATTAAAAAATTAATACTAAATTATAAAAAATAATTTTTATAATACATTAGAAATGTATTGTACGCATTCAAAACATAACACCCAACTATACAATAATATTTTATTTATTGTTAATATCACGTGAAGTATAGTTTTAGCAAACAAAATATTTTATAATATTATACAAATAAAGATTTGTAATATTTCGTTTTATTTCTATACAAAAAGCAACTATCCTATTTCATAATTTGTATAATATAATTCAATATAAAAATATCAGTTTATCAGCTTTCATTTTGTGTGACGAAACAACAAAATGGCGTACCTATGTTCTATAAAATGGCAGCTATTCACATATAGGTTGACATCTACAATGGATTCGATCTTTATGTTTGGGACTTCAGGCCCAAATTCTTAAGCTCAATGTAAATGATATAAAAACATAGTTTCATTATTTAAATATTTATTAATGTATAAATAAAATATAAAAGATTAACAGAATCTTTAATTTTATTTTCAAAAAATTAACAAGATACCAAATAATTGATTTCTTTTTCAAAATATTTGCTCTAAAATTCTTTAAAATTTAGTTCTTTAATAATTTTATGTAAATATTCATTATGATTCGTATCATACAGCAATTTAGATCAAAAAATCAGTGACCCACTCCTGACTGATGACATGTAAATGTGCATGTAAATAAACTTACGTTATGTTATAATGCAGGCAGTCTTCAATCAGTGATGAACATGCTCTTTGTCTTATAAAAATACGTTATATTTACGATAAATGCCAGAAACGAAGATACACTGTGATACTCGTTCATCGAGTATCTGCAACACCGCAACCTAAACAAGCGACAAGCAATGTTGCCACTTTTATTCGTAACCGCTACATACCCAATGTATTTGGATAAAATTAAAGTTTAAGTGAACACGTCTAGTTTTTAAATTGTTTACATTTAAAATACATATCAAATTAAAAAACTATAAACAATAAATTTTATTAAAAAAATATGTATATATAAAACTATCGACGTATACAGATAGTGTGGTTTGCATCTCAGATTTTAGTAACGCATGCGCTACAGTGTAAAATACTTTCAGAACTTATATTTGCTAAAGTATGCAAAATACTTTGGGTTAGACACTAAAATACACCTTATTTATAAAAATGTATACAGGTATGCGAAGTCACTAGTAATCGGATACTCATGATATATTTTTTCAACATTTAGAATTCCTCTTTACAAAAATTCTTTTGTCGTTATCCTACAATAACCATACTATTTTACACCATTTTGTGAAAAATATTATCAACAGTATAAGAACTACTGTTTATTATTAAAACGTGGATTAAAATCAAACGATTTTCTCGTGATATTTTTTAAAGAATGATTAATAAAGCATGTACTTATTAATCATAATTTAAATCAAGGTTACAAGTATCATATTATGAAAGTAATATAATAAAGTATTACTAATCATAGTATATGTGATACTAAAAATTGCTTCCATCTGTCAAAAAAAAAAAAAGGACAAAAATAAGAAAATACATTACTTATTATCATTACTGTATGGTGTAAACATAAAAATAACAGAAAGGCTTTATTGTATTAATAAAATATACTATTTAATATTTATATGAACTCTATAAATATATTGTTAGGTACATAGATTACCCTTATACTTTATTATATATATGTATATGTTTACATGGAAAAAAAAGAAAAAGAGTAACATTGACATATGCATATATGTATTTATGATTACCCATTTTTTCAACTGAAACTAAAATAGTGTAATGATAAAAAATTTATTGAAGTTATATTCATAACATAAAAAATGAAAACTGAAAAATAAAAACAATTACCTTCTTAAAATAACTTGCATATTTAATTTAAATATATCATTTAGTAGTATTATAGAAATAATTTATTTAAGTTTTGAAATAATTATCGACATAAGTGTATTCGTGATATTGTTTATGTAAATATTAATAAATAAACTACGTTTTATAAAAATACTTCAAATACTGAAAATATTTTTTTAAATAATCATATATTCTTTTCGATATTTTATTCTATTTTAGATTTCTATAATACTTATATTTTAATAATAGTATGAAAGATCATAACACTTTTTAGCTACTTTAAAAAATGTAGCAATTTTTAGTAAAACAATTCTATCTTCTAATATAATTAATACCCTTTTGTATCATAATATAAGAATTAACTACATTTCAATATGAAACATTATATTAATTATAAAATATTATTACATTAGCAGCTTGCCCTTATTGTTCAGTATACGGTCAAATATACTATTGTGTGATTATAATTACTACACTTTTTATCTTGAGAACCAGCCTTACAGGAAAAATTAAGAATGTAATACATTTGTCATATGTATCATAAAAGTGGTGATTTGTATCATATTTTGATCAATAATACATAATTATTTATATAAAATTTATATTTTTGAAGCTTTATATTATAAATAGTTTAATACTATTATTTAATATAAAACAATAAAAATAATGTTATAGTATGTAGAAACAATAATAAAAAATTGTATAATTTCCTTATTTATCTAATTTTGCTATATTATAAATCATTAACAGAGTTTTATTCTTTATTAACTTATAAATACGATTCGTTTTCATAGAAAGCCGGTATAAGGTTATAATATTATATATCTGAACATACTGTACGAGGATGGTGGAGGAAAGTACAAGTACGATTCCGAAGATGTGCGAAGAAGAGAATATTTGTTTGCTACTTCGGAAGAGTTGAACAATTAATTAAATTTTGATAGACAAACAACGAATCATAAAATTTTATATAAAGTATACCGGTTACGTTGAAATCAAATACGTCCGCATGCGTATTAATTACTTCTTTTCGCAAACTCGATCGAAATACATTATCCGACAGGAGAGCACTCTTTGGGCTCCAGAGGAAAGAAAAGTTGTTGTAATGGCTGCCGTGTCATGAAATGAAGGTACCGAGCCAGTTTTGTGGTTCCACGATGGAGGAGAACTCCAGTTCTGCATCTCAAAATCATAATGGACAATTATCTAGTGGTGCGAATGTTCCACTGACAAATAATAAACATCAAGGGAATGACAATGGTACTAATGGCGATGCTAAGAATGAAGGACCACAATACTCTATGCCTGGTATTCTACATTTTATTCAGCATGAATGGACTCGCATTGAACTTGAAAGATCGCAATGGGAGCTTGACAAAGCAGAATTTCAGGTATAATCCTAATTTATTTGGAAAATACTTGAAATTTCTCTATGTATCTTTCTTAAAAATACACTTTTCTTATTGTCACTTCATCTGTCATGTGACAGAATGTTGTAAAAACATGATTATCTTAAAAATTTGTAAAACACTACAATATAATTTGTATAAATTTTTTATTTAAAACTTATCTTAATTTAAGCTAAAAAATATTTTATAAGAATATCCTTTTTTTAGCGTAATATTATCTTTTAAAATTTAATATAAATGTCATTGTTTCACTACATTAGAAATCCTTATATTTTAGTGAAATTGATAAGGTAATACTCATGTATATTATATTTTTATGTTTCATATAAAGTGAATTTAAATTGTTTTTATATAAGTTATTGTGATTATTAACACTTAATATAAAATTGTGTTATATTTTTTCATAAAGTTTTCCTGAAATAAAAAATAATAAATAAAAGAATAAGAAATAAAAATAATGAAGAAAAGAAAGGCTATATTACAATGTCTATAACAAATATAAAGCATAAAACAATTATGTTAGAAGTACAAATAATATTTTATTATTTTTCTGTAGGCTAGGATAGCTTTTTTACAAGGTGAAAGGAAAGGTCAAGAAAGATTAAAGAATGATTTAGTAAGAAGAATAAAAATGTTAGAATATGCACTTAAACAAGAACGGTAAGATTTTAGTTTTATTACGTTAATAAATCATAAAAAGATGTTAACCTCAATTTGATAAATAGATTTGTAATACTTGGTGAAGTTATTAAAAAAGTCCTTATTCATGGATTTTGTTCATTTTTAAATATATTATAAGAAATAATATTTTGAACAACTTTTTGCTTTGAAAAAATTGGCAGTCAGTCTTAGTTTCTGAGATATTGAGAAAATATTTTGACTGCTATTATGTTGAAGTTTACCTATATGTACACATCCATAGCATTGTATATGTTAGCTTGAAATCATTGTTTGCCTACTGTTTCTGTAAACATATCATGGTAGCTGGCAACCAATATATATACATATATATAAGATATATACATGTATGCAGAATTCAATATAATAACAACAAAAGTTTTTTACTAATATCTTGAAAACTAATACCAATTAAAACTATTATATGTAAAGAACAAAATTTTTTAAATTAATAAAATCTATGAACAAGAACCTTTTTGACAACTTCATATAATACATTTATAATTTTTATAGAGCTAGGTATCACAAACTAAAATATGGAACTGACCTGGTAATACAAGGAGATACAAAACCTCCTATTTATGAAGAAGGTAATTATAATTGTCCTAATTCTGATGTTGGAGGTAGTGGTGATGGAGAAGCTCCATTTACATCTGTCAGTAACATCAGTTGGAGACAAGGCCGCCAAATTTTAAGACAGTAAATAAAACATGATTTTTATAATCATTAATTGCATATAATAATAAGTACTAAAGTACGTTATCATTAAGCTTATATGTAATTCTTTCTTTAGATACTTACAAGAAATTGGTTACACTGATACAATAATAGATGTTCGATCAAATAGAGTAAGATCTTTACTTGGTTTAAGTAATAATACAGACACAGAGGATATGAATACTCCTGCGTTAAATGGTAATGAACCATCAAATAAACAAACATCAGAAAACAGTGTTCATAGAGTTCCAGGAAAAAAATTAGAGGTAAATAACTTCATTAGAATTTAATCATTTTATTTATTATTTTACTGTAGTACATCTTATAATTTTTATACAGATTTCTAGTATAAAAGTTTAATAGAAATTATTAATTGTTTATGTTATGTAAATATTTATAATATCAATTTTTTACAATAATACTTACATTATATTGATATACGATATAATAATATATTTTGTGTATTTTTGTATTGGTAGCAACCATCTTCTATAGCAGAAACAATAATGCTAGATACAGAAGCAGCTGTTGCGGCAAGCTTCGAATTTTTGGCCCATACAGATATGGATATTGAAGGAGCAGAAAGGGACGTGGAAGACGATACTTATGATACTAATATGGATCCTAAATCAAATAAAGTAACCCATATTCAGTGTTCTCTGTAGAAAATATTGTTACACAGTTTTCTTTAAGTAAATAATAATTTATATACTGTTTTCATTCAAACTTTTAGCCGTCTATGCTATTAGCAGAAGATGTTGATGCAGAAGCTGAAGAAGTACTAAATGAACTAAATCTTCTCACAGAAATTGAAAAATTACCACCAGGTTCTGTGCGTTATTCATCTGAATGGAGTTAGTATTTTTTTTAATTATAGTTTTTTTTTGACAAATTTTCATTTTATCTGTATTTTAACAGTATTAAAATCAAAATTTAATGAATTTGCAGATGCAATACATAGGGACCCGGATCCAAAGCGTCTAAATGAAGAAGGTGATTCCGCATTAGAATTGGGTGAATTAGAGCAATTGTGTGTAAACAATGAAGCAGAAACATCATATGATGTAAGTAACATTTAAGTTACATTAGTTATGTTGTTGCAATTGTTGATATGCACAGATGTGTGTAACACAATCCTTACATTTATAAAATTTAAATTTATATCATGTACATTAAAAGCTTAATTTTATTTTTAATGTAAAATGTATTCCAACTAAATATATTTTTTATTAGATGGTTACTACAACAAAAGAAAATTTAAGAAAAACTTGGAATGCAAAGTACACATTACGATCTCACTTTGATGCTGTTCGAGCTCTTGTCTTCCATCCCATAGATCCTGTTCTTATCACTGCAAGTGATGATCATACTCTTAAACTGTGGAACCTTCATAAAACTTTACCAGCAAAAAAGTAGGTTATCTGTATTTCAAAGTTATGAACAGTTGATTAATTATTTTAAAGGTATTCAAAACTGTTTATTTCTTTTATTTCAGATCAGCTTCATTAGATGTAGAACCACTATATACATTTAGATCACATACAGGTCCTGTATTATGTTTAGCCATGTGTAGTACAGGCAATCAATGCTACAGTGGTGGTTTAGATGGTATGATTCACTGTTGGACACTTCCGTCAGCTAATATAGATCCATATGACTCTTATGAACCAAGTGTCCTTAGCCAAACATTAAAAGGACATACAAATGCAGTTTGGGGTTTAAGCATGTATCAACTTCGATCACAATTGTTATCAATCAGTGCTGATGGAACTGTGAAATTATGGAGCCCACAAAACAAATCACCATTACTTCATACTTATATCTCTGAACAAGGTACAGTATTTTTTAAATATGAATAATTATATTTTATAAAGTTACTTCTAAAAATATTTTTTTCTTATTCCCTTATAGATGGTATACCATCGTCAGTAGACTTCATTAGAGATGAGTCAGATAAATTAGTTGTAGCTTATAACAGAGCTTGTGTGGTATTTGATACGGAAACTGGTGAAAGTGTAGTACGTCTTGAAGCCAATGAGATGAAAGGGGTAAACCGTGTCGTGGCGCATCCTACATTACCACTTGTTATTGCAGCACACGAAGATCGACATATTCGATTTTATGATCACCGATCAGCTACACTTGCTCATTCCATGGTTGCTCATTTGGATGCAGTTACTAGTCTTGCAGTAGATCCTCAAGGTTTATATTTACTTTCAGGAAGTAAGTAGTAGTACGATTAAAACGAAAAATAATGTTAGTATATTATGAATTATTAAATAACTAATTTTTCATTTATAGGTCACGATTGCAGTATAAGATTATGGGATATGGATGATAAGTCATGTGTTCAAGAAATAACAGCACATCGTAAAAAGTTTGACGAGAGTATTTTAGATGTAGCATTTCATCCTTCACGACCTTTTATAGCAAGTGCCGGAGCTGATGCTCTTGCCAAAGTGTATGTGTGAAATGTAAATTAAGATACACATTTCTACTATCAACATACATCAAATGGAACAGATTTTGTTCTCATTCTTTCTAGATAGTTTTACGTATACATGTTACACTTCCAATTTTGTTGTAACTTATATTGCTCTACCATTTGAAGTACCACTTTAGGAAAACAAATCGGGCGTCTAGATATTCATATGAAACCAAAATTTGCACATAACCCTTGTCCGCGACAATTTATCAAAACAGTGATTTTAAATATAAATGCTGCTTATTGATGAAATTTTCACTAAGTAGCAGTATTAATTGGATAGCGCGAGGGGTCTGTCTTGTAGCATATTAGTTGATATAGTTCTGAAAATTAGATGATGAAATACCCCTTACCCAAAATCCAGGAAGCACACTGCCGCAGTAGCATAATATTTATCCCTATGTTAACTATTTATTACCAATATTACAGTTACTGTTGCACAGCTACTGGAGATTAAGACGTACTACGCGAGAATAAATTTGTCCTACATCAATTAGTCTCCCATTATATGATTTTTATGCTACCTTATATATTTATCAAGGTTGGCATATAATAACAACAAAAAAGCAACAACAACAACAATAATAATAATAACCGTAATAAGTTAATTATAATGTAAGAGACATAATATTAATAACAGTAAATTATAACTGTGTGTTTCTCTGTAATATATTGTATTTAAAAATAGATGAACTGTGTAACGTACTATAATGAACATGTTTTTATTAAAATTTAATTCCACTTCGATATTATTTTTTTCCTTCAACAAATCTAGATATATAAATTATAGCCATAAAAAGTGAAAACAAAGTATTGGAATAAAAATTATTCGTCTTTTAAGTATTTGTTTCATAAATAAGCGTGGATAGAATGTGATTGATATAGTTTAATTTGAATTTAAACGAAATATATAAAGTTTAATAATTATGTGATCCTGTATTTATAGTATATTTGACAAAATATATAAAAATATGAAAAAACTAATTTTGTACCAAAAGTATGTACATAGTATAAAAAATTTTACGCTTCATTGATATATTTATATCTTTAAAATTTGTTTTAAATGTCGATTTTTTTAACTAACAATAACTTGGCCTGTGTATATAACGCCCTTTGATTGTCCAATCAAAACGAGGCAAACATTATCATTCAGGTTAAAGAATATCTAGAAATTATTATCACGTTGATCAGCTGAGAGAACATTCTTAGTGTAACTATAACGAATTTTCTATCGTAACTAAAATTATAAATTTATAAAATATAATTATTACAAGGAAGTTTATACTAAAGTAAAATACATGTCTTTCACTGATTTTAAATGTATTTATATTTTGAAAAATATTACAATTTGTTAAACACACAAGAGTTCACGCCCCACTACTAGTAATATTTTTAATGTTTTGGTAAAGTACTTAATATCTTTTCTTTGCAAAAAGACATCAATATTTACTTATCTTAATGAAATATTTATAAGATGTGAACTAAATCTTATTAAATGTTTGCATAGGTTATGTGACTATGTTGTTTAAAGTGTATCTGAATTTCTTGTTCATAAGTGTTAAAGGGTAATATGTTTGTTGCGCTTTATAAGCGCCGATATTATTTAAAAAATTAAGGATGGAACGAAATGGCGCAAGAGAAATGGAAGAACGAATGTGTATAAGGGATACTGGGAAGACACTGAAAAAATATGGTAGTACAGCTAAACATGTTACAAGAAATGAATATTTATTAAAACACACTGTATCAAAAACTGATACCCTCCAGGGAATTGCCCTAAAATATGGAGTTACAGTATGAAACCTTTATTTTATTTTACTATCCTATAATTGATAGAAAGTAATAGAAGATATATAGTACACTTCATATCATTTTATCTTTTAGACTGAACAAATAAGACGAGTTAACAGATTATGGGCTTCTGATAGTTTATTTTTACGGGAACATTTGCTTATTCCTATTAATCCAGAAAGCCCATTGTCACTGGATAATACTGAAGAAATTGAACATAATGTAGTTCAAAATGTATGTATCTCTCTGTATAAATAATAAACTATAATTTAATATAATATAAGCTCACAATATATTTTCAGGTTTCTAGTCCATCTTCAGTAACATCATCTATAGATGATGATAGTTCATTTAATGACTTTTTAGCTAAAATGGATTCTTCTATAGCCAATGCTAAAAGAGAAGTTAAACGTACTCAGGGGAATAGTGAGTAAGTTATTTATGAATAATTAATGATTATAGAATTCATATTTTACATATAACAAAAAATTTTTTTATATAAATTTATTGATAAATTATGCTTTAGATTTTGCACTGAGGATAATGATATCTATGTACAGTCACATAGAACACCTAAATTACGTAATTCACTTCCTATAACTTCAAATACACATATAATACCATCTGCTTCAGAAACATTAAGACCATCATCTTCTAGTGATATGCATAACTTTCCAACTGCTGTAGTTATGACTCAGGGCAGAAAAGTGAAAACATCATTACAAAGACTTCAGCAGCAACAAGATGAAATATTTCAGTTGTAGCAACTAAATTTTATTGGACTGTAATATCTTTAACATTGACAGTGTCATTAAAGAGCTTGAACAAAAGATATATTGAATACCAAATAATGTACTGGAAATAGTAGAAGGCTATTTCATACTTAATCCAATACCAATGTAAGTTGTATTCATTTTTTTCCATAAACTTTTTATGATATTTTAATCATAAATTATAAATATTATAAATATTTGTAAAAGATAATTGATCATTTCTAATCTTGTAGTCTGAGTACTATCAACAATGGATCAACTAGCTCTCATATTGTCCAAACATATTTTGAAAATAGTTGAAACAATATTTCTTAGTAAACCATATGTGCCTTTAATCCAAGTCGATTATGTATTTCTGTTATTTCTATAAACTATTTTATATTACATACAAAATGTTAAATTTATATGGTTTCAATTAGATAAATTCCTTCAATTTTATTGAGAATAATAATATATCCCATCAAAACTACATTTTTGTCGAATGCAACACTTAATTGGATTAACTTTCTTCATGGCCTCAAGTATATTAAATAAGTAACTCATATAAATTATAATTTACAATACTAATATAATTAAATATTATACATTATGTAAGTCCACTTTCTAAGCCATTCTTGGTCTTCCTTATCAAATGCAGTCAATATTATTTGTTTATGTAAATTGTTTCGCTATCAAAAACATTATATGCAAAATTAGACAAATATATTCAGCTTGGATAACAAATTGCTTGTTCATATAGAAAAAAATGTCCAATTATTATTTTGATAACAAAAAATGCAAAATATTATTAAAATTAATATAAATGCTCAATATTTAGTTACAACTATAAATTAAATAACATTTATAATTCGGTATCAACAATTTTCATTACAAAATTGAATAAAACCAAGAATCATTATTGTCTTAAAAATTGTTTGTATATAATGCACAAATGACTTTAATATAAATCATATTAAAATATTTATGAAATTGGTTTCTTTAGACTTGAAAAATAGATTTTTGCTTTTGAAATTATCATTACAAATTTGTAAATATATACATTAGTGACATAAAAATCATTATTCCATTTATAAAAGTTAGGAAATATAAAATTTATATTCATTATGTTAATATAGATTATTTGTAATTATTTTTGGAATTATATAAATTTATTGTTGATGCAGTGAATAAAGATTTTACAGAAAAAAAATACAGTACCTGTTAATATTGTCTGTAACTAATATTTTGTTAATTGTTATAATAGTAATATTATTTACTGATATTACACATTATGTGCTTTACTATTGTTATCTTATTTGTATTATACTATTGTATTATGTACTGTGTAAAAGCAGTTGATAAATTACTATAACAACAGAATTGAAGATCAATGAACAAGCGATAAATTTATTTTAAAATGATATTAATATATTACACACATACACACATACAGACACCGAAACAATAAATTGTGTACAGTTTATATTAAACACATGTATGGTCTAACTTATTTTTTCACTTTGTTATGAATACATAACAATTAATTCAAATAATTTTTAATGCTATGCATTAGTGATTAATTGTAAATACTTTAAGTAAAAAATGTGAACTATATATGGTATAATTTATTAGTTGTAACATAATATAATATTCATGGTGTATAAAATGTATATATTTCGTATTTATATTTTAGTTTATATGCGTGCGTGCAGGAATATATATGTGTATATACGTTTGTATACATGTACATGTATATTGAAAAACATTAAATTGTTATGTATAAATGTAAAATAAATATTATCTGTTGATGAAGTAATTTACATCTAAATATACAATGAAAAATATTTAAATATAATAAATACTGTAAATAAAAATTGCTAATAACTTATACACTTACAAAAAAAATTTACTTTCCATGGTATATATAGTTAATATAAAAACTGCTGAGTTACAATTATTATTAAATTATTTATATAATAAATACGGATATGTTTATAATTATATAACATATTATTTGCTATATTTGTTTAATGCAATGCATAAAAGTGAAAAGTATCATTGAATAAATTAACATTAATGATTATTTCTATTTAATATTTATTAAATATAATAAATATATTAATAATAAATTTCAATTATCTAAAGACTAGTCATATAAATTGTATGTTATATTTATGTAAAATTTATATTTTTTGTTATTATAAAATTATATTTCATAATAAAAAATAATTTTGTATTTATAAACTATATAAAACTCAAGGTTTTATAATAATCAAATTATATTTAGGAGCAATGGTTTCATATTTAGGATGTATTTGATTTATTCAGATAAAAACAAAATATCTACTTTACTATTAGTTATTTTGACTGGTGGAGCTATAAATTTACTACAGTTACATTTTAATTCATTTACAAAATTAAATGAACCTATACGATTATTACAATGAGGACAATGAAGTCTACCCTTTGTCCAAGATTCCTGTAAAAAAGATATATTGTTTTATTTAGATTCTAGATGAGAATTCTATAACTTATATGTATTACTTTCACTGATACATTATTTATTTGTTATACAATATTAAGTATATTGGAAAATATTTATAATTAAACATAATAATTTAAAATTTGACGTTACTTGGTTTATGGCTTGTTCAATCCATTTAGGCAATTTTTCCATGGATATATATGAACAAGGTTCAAAATCATTTGTACCACATTCAAATACATCCACAAAATTTGTTTTGATTTCATTATGAGAAGTCAATAATGAAATACATTCTTTACCAAAAAGGTCTTTCCTACAATGTTTGCACTTCACTTCCATTACCTATAAGTTATTATAAACGATTTATTACAATTTTGAAATTTAAATATATTTGTTTAGTACTTTTGCTCATACTACTTGTCTTATATGCATACTTCAGCAAACGATAATAATAAAAATTAAATTTTAGAGGTTATAAACGCATAAAAGGAAAATGGTAAAAAAACTATATAAAAGGATGAGTATATATTGAACAATAAATTAATATAAGTTAGAAAAATAGATTAATAATATAAATATAATATTTATATAATTACAAAAAATTTAACTCACGATTTATATTCTTTTACCTTAACTATTTATATTCACTATAAGAAATTATGTTACAATTAATGCAATTTATTATTGTTAGTAAATAGTTAAATTAAATAAAACGTTTTAAATAAATAATTTGTTCGAAAAAGACATTCATTTGGAATATATATTTATTAATAAATGTAAAAAAAGATATTTAAATGTTTCTGTATAATGTCAAAAAGAACTAATAATGATGCACCTCAAATTTACATCATTTTATTCAAAGCATCATATACATGTATATCATTTTTAAAAATTAAATATTTTTTCATATATATCAAATTAAAAATTATTATTATTAATTATAAACATTGAATTAATAAATTTATGAAAAAGTTTGGTTAATATTTGTAATAAAAAATATATATAATATACGTGTATTTTAACTATAATAATTATATATACCTTTGACAATACAAAATTACTTAATCTTCACCTGCTGGAATAGCATCTTCTAGTCTTTTAATAAATTTAACACGCAATTCAGTTACATTGTCATTTTTCAGTTGGTCTTGTACAAACCAACAGGCAATCTCCATTTGTACCATTTCACAAGCTCCCCTTAATACTCCAATTAATACATTACAATACTTTAAATTTAAACAATGATCTGGTAATTCAACAAATTCTGTTAATGGATTTGATTCAAAACATAAAGAAAATTCATCACCAGCAGCACTCCAATTTGTAATTGTCGGTGTAATTCCCAAAAATATTTTGAAACCAGTTTGTATTTTTTCAGCAGTATCTCGAAAATCATAACATCGACCAGATCCAGTTCGAGCTAAAAAATCTTCTATTAAACGAATTCCCATATTGTAACCCATCCTTTCCAACTGTTTGTTTACATCCTCTACATTTTCATAATCCTTTAGTAACTGAGCTACCAATGCTCCATATGTTAATGTAAATAATTCAGAATTCTGAAATTTATAATTTTATAAAATTTTTTCATTATATATAACAAATTTTTTACATTCAACGATATTGTAATACTAGTATCAAACATTATCCCTAACCTCACTTATAATTTAACACATATTTTTTCAACAATTGGTTAACAAGAGAATAAAATTTAATAATTTATGAACTAAATGTTTTATCAAAATTGATAATGTAATACAATAATGTACTTACAACTTTTTTCGAATCGAGTTTCGTGCCTGCTCGTGACATATTTATATGCACTGTCTTTTAATTGCTTGTAGTTGCAGTATCAATGTTCATTCTGTAATAAATTTATTATTAAATTATTTTTATTTGTAACTGTGATAAATAATTCCTAGGTATTCTACAAAATGTTAATGTTATATTATTTCTAATTTTTAATATTTTATAAAATATTAACATAATATACAACAATGCAGCAAAAACTGAAATATTATTATTATATGTATATAAATATACCGTTTTTTCGTAAATATGTAAGATAACAAAATAAATGGGAAATGATATTAAATATAAACGATAAATTTGTTTAAATAATGTTTATTATAAAATGTATCAATCTTGTTATGTAAATAGTACCCATTTATAAATTTTACCTTAATTATATATATTAAAGTTTAAATATGCTTAATAATTTATTTATAATATAGACAATATATAAATTTATGTCTATATATGTTAAAAAATTGAAAACTTAACACAGGACGGAGTCCTCAAACTGATCTTTGGGCAATTATTTAAAATATGTTAGTTTTTAATTGAAATTGTTATTCAGAAGTCCCCCATAGCTGCAATAATATTATATAATGCTGTTCTTGCATCACTTTTTTCAAATACACTTAAAACTTCCATTGCCCTTTGTGAATGTCTTTTTTGTAATTGTTTTGTTAATTCAACTCCAGGTCCCATCATAATAATTTTATGAACCTACATATTACATTTTTGAAATTATTATATTCATAAATAAAAAATAAATTATGTAGATATTTATATTTAATATGCTTACTTTAACATAATCTACATTGTTTACAGATTCTAGACCTTTATTAATTTCTGCCAAAATTGATGGATCATGTTCAATATGAAACATAATCGGCGCAGAACACAAACTGAATGTCACATTTTGATCTTTTGTAATAAATGGACCTAAATCCAAGCATGCTTGCCAAGCTAATGCTAAATGTTTCCCAAAATTGTAACCTTGTTCCTGTATTTCATTGCTGTGTCCTGCTAATTTTAATGTACCTTTGCAAGATTTTCCTAGTAAAGCACCAGCACTCAAAACATTTCTAAGAGTCCATTCTTCCACTGCATAATTCTTACGATCTTCAGGTGGAATAGACGGTAAAGGATTATTTTGGTTATCTCTACGCCCTATAAATTCTGCCTCTGCTAAATCTCTTACAGCACTTGACATTAATTCTACAATCTAAATGTAATTGTGATTTGTGTAATAAAAAATAACAAAGATAAACTTATGCAAATCAAGAAATAAGATAATTTTCATACATACATCTTGATTACGGAGATTTGCTAATTCAGCACAAGAATTTGCTAATAAATAATCTCCACTTAATAATGCAATTTTGTTACCAAAATTCATATCATTTAATTCTGAGGTTTCTAAATAAACATCAGGTTCTATATTTACTAATCCTTTATGAACAAGATGACTAGTACGTATCATTTCAGTTACCTCTGCCAAAGCTCGTTGGCTATTTAACGATAGATATAAAATTATTTATTACAAATTAATAATAGTGTTTAATAATTTTATGTTACCAAAAGTTACTTCAGAATACCTATGAAGTACACCTGCAGCTTTGTCTTCTTCCATGTCATCTACGTTTAAATGACCAGCAGCTTTTGAAATTAATAATACAATAAGACCCCATGCTTGCATGTTATTACGCCCATTATAAATAACACTTCTATAATAAATTAGAGTAAATTCTAATATATTTAGATTAAATTATCAAAGACATAAAAAATATGTTAATAAAATACTTACTTGGCTGTTTTTAACAAAGGATGATTAGATCCTACTAATTTCCTTAAATGTAGAGCTACATTTGCTACTTCATCACTCAATAACCATCGTAAACTTAAAAATGATGTTGGATACCCAACAATTTTCTCTGCTTCTGAAACAGCTCTATTCCAATCTGGCTTTTGATTTCCTGCAAGTTTTGCTTTAAACTTATTAAATTGATGTAAATGGAATCTATTTTGCATAGAAATATGTATATTTCTTTGTTTTCCATAATATATGTTATGATCACTACATACAACTGCTCTGGTTATATTTCCATTCTTTAATATAGTAAATATAATTTTGTTCGTAGACATTTTTATACTGTATACACTCGTGGAATTCGTTTTCTCTCACATTAACATTAATCACACATTCAACAGGTATACTGAACATGATTAACGTTTTAAGCTTTCACTTTTGACCTTATTCTTGAGAGACACCATGTGATTTATTTTCTAGTATAAAATGTCATTTTATATTTTGCATTTTTTATCGTAAAGTATTACTAAAACGATATACTTTTATATTCGTACTTATTTTCATATATAATACATTATATTGAGTTTATTCGTTTAAATAGCAATACATATGTACTTCTTTAAATAAAGAAGTTTAGTAAACTAAAATATTAGGATAAAAATGGTTCTATCTATATCGCATGTCTATTCTCATGAAATTTTATATCGTATCTATTATAAGTGTATCTTAAAAGTTATTTACTTTATATATATTTTTAAGTGTTCCTTTTAAGTAAATTAAAAAACACTATTCAAATTAAAGTATTTAATATTCATTTTAACATAAAATATAATTTTATTAAATTTCTTTAAGATCAGACAAGAAATAGTATTATAGACATACAAAAATAATTTATATTTTAAAAGTAATTATATAAATTTCATTTAAATAAAAGAATATTTAATTTTCACTGTCAGCTATCTATGTACTACATACTACATGCACATATCTTGAATATATAGATTATAGATGGGTAATATATACACACACAATATATACAGAATAATAGCACATAATATTATACATATATATAATACTTGTATAATAGCGTGAGTTGTTAGACTTATGTTTCTACTATGATCTAATAACCTAATTTGTGAATTTTGTTTTTATATCTTCATTTGTGAATAAATATTTCTAACATAATGTTAAGTAGTATTCTATGTCGCCATGTATTACGGTTTGGATATAGTGAAAAAAAATTTTGGTCTAGATCATTTATAACATATTCAATTAAATTACGAAGACAAGTTACTTATCACGAAAAAGTTTCTTTTCACGCTATTATACGTAATCCAATATACTCTGCGTTTGGAATTAGGGTAATATTTTTATTTTACATATTGTCTTTATAAAATATGGTAAATATTAAAAAACGATTTGTAATAATATTTCTTTGAAGTATGTTTTTCACTAACTTTTGTTACTTTTATCCTTATTTTAGCAAGTGTTTAAGTTATGGAAATAAATTATAAGAAAGAATTAAATTTAAAATTCACTAGAGTAAATGTCTATTAATTAGTACTAAATAAATTACATAACAAATAAATAAACAAGTATATATTTCAAAGTATTTCTTTATTGCTTCTGCAGATATAACATTTGCATAATGGGTAGGACTTCAAGAAAACGTCATCAAAGGAAGAAGCTAAATATTAAAGAAATAACAGGGAACAAAGAAGACAGTCTGATGCATCTTAAATCTTGGTTATTAACAAAGAACTGTTCATCAGTTTATAATTTAGTTCCATTTAACTTTCTTATTACTGGTCGTGGATTAAAAACATTAAAAGATATTAAACCTAACGATATATTGATTGAACTACCTTATGAAATATTAATAACAACTTCTATATTATCTCAAAGCAATGTTAATATTCTATTTTCGAAAACTGAGTATTATAGTGCCCAATGTTTATTAGCAATATTTATTATATATGAGTCACATTTAGGAAATGTTTCAAAGTGGTATCATTATGTTAATAGTCTTCCACAATTTTTAACAAATCCTGATTTTTGTACACCGAAAGAAAAAGATCTATTACCCTCATTTATTGTAGATTATATGTATCAGTTCCATAAAGTACATAATGATTTTGAGTTATTAATTAAATCTATAAATAATTTAAAATTAGATGAAAGAGATCATTGTCCACACTGTAATTTACATTTAAAAAAAATAATCACATTTGAAAAATATAAATGGGCATATTACATTGTTAATACAAGAGCTGTGTACATAGATCCAGCTGAGATAAAGAAAAATCAAGATATTATTATTAATATAAAACATCAAAATACTTTAGCCTTAGCTCCTTTTTTAGATTTATTTAATCATAATGTAAATAGTGTTACACGTGCATCTATAATTACAAATAAAGATAGAAATAAGTTTTATCAAATTACTACATTAAATTCATTTAATTCAGGATCACAAGTGTTCATCAACTATGGTGCACATGATAGCCTTAAATTATATATCCACTATGGTTTTTTTACATCTAATAATTCATTAGATGAAATTCATTTTGATATTTCTAATATAAAAGCTTGTTGTAATGTTCCAAAATTTAAATTAGATTTCATTATTTCCAATAACTTACAAAGAAACATGGCATTTACAAGAGATGGTTTAAATTATAATGCAATATCTACACTGTTTATAATAAGTACACAATTACAAAGAAATCAATGGAATATGAAAATATATGGAAATTCTCTTACATCAGAGGATATCATAAACATATATAATACAGCAAAACAAATACTATGTTTGAAAAAAGATGAATTACTAAATCATATGACAAATATGAAAAATCTTAAATATTATACACAATCTTTTTCAGTTGCAATAAATCTTATAGAAGAATATATTACAATATTAAATGAATCATATAATAATTTTTGTACATTTCACTAGTTTAAAAATAATAATTTGTAATATGTATGTAAAAATATGTATGTAGTGAACAATTTATAATTTTATAGTAATTTAATAAGATATATTAGATAAATATTTAATAAAAATATTAATACTATTCATTAAATTTTGTTTACTTTTCCACTATTTAAAATAATAATTTCATCTATTTTTATTTTAAATTAAATATTTCTGTATTTAACAAATTATTAATATTATTTAAAAGAAAAGTAAAAGTGTTTAATAATATTTATTATTGATACTTATATTAATATAAAGTATATAAATATGTACTTAAATATTTTTTATTATTCTTCTAGTGTTGCAGTGGAAATGTCATTGATCGTATACAGAAAAAAAAGACTATGGTTCAATCAAAATCTATTGTAACTTCAGTTAAATTTCCATCAATAATTTCTGGATTTATTGGAGGGAAGTCAGGACAACAAAAAAGAGATTGTTTTCATCCTGGTGTATCTAGTTTAAGCCGTGAAAGTATTGACTTCCAAGAAGGAGAATCAGTTAAAGCTACAAATATGATTAAAGCAATGCTTAGATATATTTGGC